CGGCTTGTATCTTACCCCCTTCGTGTGATGTTGAGTTCTCACAGATGTAGATGTATCCTGGCTGTTGTACTTCATCCACTGGTGTCTCTTTTAGGAATAGTTGTATTTATTGTAATTTCGTAAATATATGTTTTTGGGAGGAGATTTCCACTGAACTACTTACGCCACCTTCTTCCCATGACCCCCCCCCAACCTATGTAATTTATGTGTGCCAAGGTTTATCTGATTCCAAAGTCCCTATTTATTTTTACTTCTCCATGTGCTCAGCATGGAAGAATCACATTCTCAAAGTCCTATTAGATTTTAACAGTTTTTACACAAGTAAAGTTCCTTGTATATTTTAATGGAAAGGTTTTTAGATAATGTTGTAGCATTTCTAACTCAGTTACTTGTAACTGAGAACTGGGTTTGGGGTATGAAGATGGTTGCAGTTTGGATGTGTCACATTTGACATGTGTGTGGAATATCCAAGGGAAGATATCCAGTAAGTTGATGGAAAGATTTAGGTGAAAATAATCTAGACTAAAGGAGATTTTTCAACATCAAGAGGGTGATTGAAGTTGTAATAAGAAGAAATGAGGTCACAACGACAGAACCCTGAAGAACACCAGTATTTAAGGGCTAACCAGAAGAGAAACACTCAGCAGAGACTAAAAGGAGTAAGAACTAGAAACCGTGATACCATGAAAGCCAGGAGAATAGTGAGTGATAAGTGATAGATGTTATCAAATACTATAGGCAGATGAAGTAATATAAATATTAAGCTTTTAACAGAGAAAGTGCTAGTGACTTTGATGAAAGCAGTTTCGCTGGTATAATAATCAAAATGACAGTAGGTTGAGCTGTGAGTAGAGATACAGGAAGTAGAGATTAAGTACCATAAAGCCTTGAAAGATTGACCATGTATCAGTAGCTAACTAGAGACTGATGCTTTTTTTTTCTTTTTTGGAGATGAGAGTGATTTATGTATGCTAAATGCCAATAGGCAAAAATCGAGTACATGATGAGGTTGAGGATTACGGAAGAATAGGAAGATATGGGAAGGGCAAAATTATTGGCAGCAGGTTGGTGAGCATGAATGTAGTTATTTTAAGACATCAACAAAATTGTCTAATGTATCCATCTCATGACAGAGATTTGCAAGTTAAGCCCAATTTACAGATACTTACTTTCTATAAACCCCTGAATCCTAAATCTGTCACTACATTAGAGACCACCTGAGGTGTTACCATGATGAAATTTGATGTCTGTTGTCAGGGACCCATTTGTTTCTGTTGACTGTGTTTTCTAATTGCATGGAGGACCAATCCCCTTTAGACTGATGTAGTCAAATGTTAATTATGTCATTAAATTAAATTTTCACTATTTTCGTGTTGGTCCTATTGCTGTTATGTCTAATTTAAAAACAGTTTTTAAGATAACATCTCTGATCTATTTTATATTGCTTTTACTGTTGACAGTGAGTCTTAATTGCATTATTTTTTATTCCTGGGGGAAAACTCATCATAACTTCTTGAGAAGTCACCTAAAGCTTGTTAAAGAAGTGGGAATAAATGAGCACACCTATTTTCATATAACTCTTGAAAATGACTGGATTAGTGAAGTTTATTGCCTAGAATGAAGAGACCTACTCAATTCCTAAATATTAATTCCAGAAATATACTGAATGTCTATTTTTGTGCCTGGAGTGGAAAACTGCAATCAAAAGGCTAGCAAAGATTCCTGCCTTCACAGTTTATAACTTGATGGGAAGGACAGCTTAATAATTGTACAGACAATTTATACAAAATAATTATACAAATTTCTAATTACATTTCTGAGAACTGATCCATAAATGGTCTAGAGTCCTGTCAGGGTGCATACCAGGGTCTAGAATTGAAAGGTGAGAAAAAACCCTTTCCAGAGCAAATGACACATAGCTGAGGTTTGCTGAATAAGAGCTGGCCAAACATGCCCCCCACCACCTCCTGCATTTCATGCCAAAGTAATAATGTGTGTGAAGTCCTTGAGGCACGTGCTTCCTCTTTCTTTAGAAATTGTCTGTTGGTCTCCTACAACAGTAATGACATGGCTGGTGATCCTTTCTTCCCCTCACTAACATCTGGTTTTGTTTGCAAATATTTTTGGCCTCTATGTTTGTGTTCTTAAGTATACATAGCTTCTATTACTTGCCTTGTTGGCTTCAGTGATTTCCTTTTATTCCGAGGTAACGTTCATAAGGAACCACTGAGTTTACTCTCCTGTCCATGTAATTTCCCTTTTGTTGCATTTTTGTCAATGATGTACTTTTCTGTATCACCAGAGCATACAGCATTGACATAGTCTTCTGTAAATCTGGACTCCTTAATTTAGTCTTACTTCTACAGGTAAGTGTATTCAGAGCTCACCATCATGCTTTATGCTGCAGTTTCTCCAATTATTTCTTGGTTTTTTAAAGTTTGCTGATGAATAACTTCTGGGAATAATGGCTTTGAGTTCTTCACATATATAGCTGTTTATGTTTGAATTTATACTTCATATTTTTAACTTCAGAGTCCCATAGCTCTACTAGAAAATGTTGCAGCTAACCATTCTTAGTCTTTATTCTTAGATATGTAGATTCATTATTCCTTTTAATTTTGGAAAGTTTTCTTGGATTATAGTTTTCTTTGTCTATTCTGTTGCCTTGGTTTTCTGCATTAGGGTCACAATTATACATATGGTAGATCTCCTTTGTCTGACTTCTGTATCATTTATGCCCACATGTTTTTTTCATTCTTCTTTTTATTCCATTTCTTTCACACTTCACAGCATATTCTCTATTTCCCTTACTGTTTACTGTAACATCTCTTTTATTTTTCTGTTACTTCTAATTTAGTCTCTATTTTCTCATATGTTTTTCTTGTTCTTTCAGAACTATTTTTGTATCATGCTGTTTTTCAGACATCTCATTTCTGAGCATTTTATTGAGAACTATAAAGCACTGAGATTTTTACCCTACTTGCAAGCTAAAATCTTAGGTTACCACGGTTTCAAGGATCAGACAGACATAAAACATGAGACTCCTGGATCAGAGATTACTGGAAAGACTCTATAACTGACAAAGGGAAATCTCTCTTATCAGCTGGGACTCATTTCAATAATAGACTTTTTACTATTATCTTTGAAAGGATCTAAGCTAGGTATGATAGACTGTAGGAGTTGTTGAAATCATAAGGTGATTATAATTCTGCTTTATGTACTTCATCCTTTCATCTCCCAGGTGAACCAGTGTTGTAATGACTTGCTGGCCTTCTGAACATAGTGGCTGTGAATATCTGCCTTTCTCATTCAGTGTAGGTGTGCATCTCTGATGCACCTTTTGTCTGAAGGTCTAACCTTACAGTAACCTTAGACAGGTCTTTGTACTTGTCACAGTGGGGTGGGCTTGAAGTTGACAGAACAATTGGTGAGGAAGTCCACTTACATAGAAGAGAATTTGGGCAAATTAATGTTTTGAATCTACTGCCCAGTTCTTGGCTTGTGTCCTCTGCATATCCCATTCTGGTCTCTTCTGCTCCCCTCCTTTTCCTAACACTTGGCTAAATGCTATCATCCCAGCTCAGCTCCAGCATTCACCACTGGTTGGTTGATTGATTGATTGGACCTGGCTGGAAAATCCAAATTAAATTAATAAATCAGAGATCTTGATTTTCCATTTTTCTCTAAAACCATCCATAACCAAACTTAAGGTAGGATTATATGATATTAAGTTAGTTTTACAGTGAGAGAGTTGCCAGTGTGTTGAATGCGAAATATTAACATCCGTTTCTTTTGAATTCTTACAGAATCAGATTATTCTTACTACAACCTAATCCTGAAGAAAGCAGGACAATTCTTAGACAATTTACAAATCAATCTCCTAAAGTTTGCTTTCTCTATAAGGGCATATTCTCCAGCTGTTCAGATGTTCCAACAGGTATGTAAAAATACCCAAGCTATATTTGGCAAGGAAACATGATAATGTACATTAATATATCTTAATATGAATATCTTTGGTTCAGAAAGATCTACCAACATAATACCTGGTTCCATAACATAATTGATTATATTATCATTGTTATGTGTTTCATTGATTATAATTGAATGTTTTACATAATTTTATAGTTATTTGAAATAAGGAAATTATAAGGACTAATCACTATTGAAGTGAACTATAATGAAAATTTTAATTTAATGGAATTTTTTTTTATTAAAGCATTGTTGGTATACAATCTCATGTCGGTTTCAAATATACAACACAGTGGTTCAACAGTTACCCATAATGTTAAATCCTCACCCCCTCTAGTGCAGTTACTGTCTGTCAATGTAGTAAGATGCTACAGGATCATTGACTATATTCTAATGTAATGGAAGTTTTTCAACAACTTTGAACATAGATTTCCTACCGTGAGGTAGATTTTGTTCAAATATTTGCTTCATATAGATTATTTTTACTTTAATTGGAGCAGTACCTTCATAGTAGTTTATTAGTTACTTTAATCAAAGTAATGTATGAGTTTTTAGAATCATAATTATCAACTATGGTAGCTAAATATAACCTTTGAAATCTTAGATTGCAGCTGATGAACCACCGCCAGATGGTTGTAATGCATTTGTGGTGATCCATCAGGAACATACCTGTAAGGTTAACAAGATTAAAAAGCTGCTGAAGAAGGCCACCTCAAGGTAAATGAGTGATAGCCTATAGTGAGAGAAGTGGTTAGAAAAAGAGATGAGGGTTGGAATAGCAGAAATTTTTATAATAAAATAATTTTATATTCCAAGATGTTCATTTAAGAATGTTCTCTATATTGAAACACTGAATATATCTGAGCTGATAGTCTAAGTCCTTTTCTTAAATACATAAGCACTTTCAATATGGTGTCTTGATTAGCTATGGATTTAGAATACAAATTATACCAAAATGCTATAAAATGCTTTTTCAAGTAAACACAGAAAACTGTGGATTTATTTTGAGGATATCCCTTTAAATATAAACTGAATCTATACCTTGGGAACTAGAAATTAATAATAAAAACAGTAATATAGATTTGCTTTTGTATAATGTATTGTTCACAACTTTGTTTTTTACTTCTTCCAAGTATTTCAAACAAATGAACATGGGCATTCAGAAGGAAATCATTAATTTTTTAGTAATTTTTACAGAATAATACCTTCCAGTTTACATTTTACTATCTGTCTATACTTTTTAAAGTATTAGAGTTGTTTCTCTGATTTTGAAAGAACTTTTATATATTTAACAGTAATATATATATATATATTTAGTAATTCATATTAATACTTCTCTTATTAGTTGGAAACCTAGTATTTCATATTAACTTGAATATATAGAAGGCCTTTTATTTTTACAGAACCAAATTTTTCTTGTATGTGTCTGTATTTTTATGCTTACACAGTTTTCCCAAACCTGAATGAGAGATTTTACTATTTTCCAGTAACTTTATCTTAAAGTTTTTCCTTTCACTTTACCTTAAACTTTTAACTAATCTGTAATATATTTTCATCAAAAGGTAAGAATCTAATATGATCTTTATTCTCTCAGGTGGCTAGTCAACTGTTACATTCATTATATTTATATTATGGTCTATTTCATAGCTATTTGTTCTGTACAATTACCAGTAACAGTGCCATGCTGTTTTAGTATTTATTGTTTTAAACATATTCTAACATCTCACAGGACAATTTCCTTTTCATTACTGCTTTTTTCCTCTAAAATTTCTTATCTTTACATTTATCAGTGTTTTCAAATACATATTAGTCATTTTTCTCCTGCCAAATTGCCTTCCTAATAAGGCTTGGTAGGATTTTAATTAGAATTATGTTAAACCTATTGGTTTATTTAAGAAGAACTTAAATCTTTATTACATTGAATCTCTCAACAGATAACATTGTATGTCTTCTTCTGTTCATACCTTCTTTTAAAACTTCAAAGTTTTATAATTTTCTGTGTTTGTAAAATCAGAAATAATTGTTTAATCAATTATATTTTCATCTATTGGGGTAAATACAAAGTTTATCACTGAACATACTATGTATTACAGTAATATGTTTTAAAATATTATACCTTTACATTTTTAGGGTAAATTACTTGTTAATGGTGTGGGATTATCTTAATTGATGTTGAATTAAGATTGCTTGTATTTTTATTAAGATTCATGTCTAATCTTATAAAATTCCTAATAAAATTCATGTCTACTTTGATAAATGAGGTTAGCCATTATTTAAATTATTTATACCATCTTTTTTTTATCAGAGTCATCCTAACTTCATATAGTAAATTAGGCAACCCTATTATTCTGTGAGAGTTAATACAGTATAGAAGAATTATCTCTTCCATGGACCTTTTGGGTCTTTGCATGTCCTTGCTTGGCTGACCAGTGAAAGATACAAGACTGAAACCACTCTTTACCTGAGCCATTTCTCTGGGTGTGCTTATAGTAAGCAACCTTGAGGAATGAGGTACCATTTCCCTTTGGAAAAATGAGCAGGCTTGATTACTGCTTGCTATAAAACAGTGGGTTCCCAGGTACAGTGTTCCTCAGCTGCAACACACACCACTGTTGTGTAGTATTCATTTAGTCCATATTTTGTCACCCCTGTGGAACTTTCAGAGCAAGCATAACGCTCATGATACTTGCTATGCCAGGAGCAATAAAGTCCTTTGTCTTTGATCCAGGAATCTCATGGCTTCTACCAGAATCTATTAAATGATAAAAGCCTAAAGTATTACTTTGTAAGCAGGGTAAAATCAAACCTTAGACCTTGATAGTTCTTGACAGTTTTAGAAATAAGGATGGGATGTTGACAGGTACATGGCTTCCTGGAAAAGGAAAGCCAGGGGCCGCATGGGTTGGCGAAACAAAAGCGCAACACTAAAATTTCTTTCCTAGGATTCTCCTTTCTCTCCCCCTGCTATTCTTTCCCTGTTCTCCTGGCTGGGTGACAGCAGTCTTCTGATAACTGTTACCATAGCCCCTGACACATGCTCCTTTTTTTGTGTTCCTACAGCAAAAGACACCCAGATTCAACTGATGGGTTTGGAAGGTGCTTACCATGGGGAAGGGAATTAAAATGATGTCTAGACCAAGTCAATGTACCTTTATTGTTTTGGCCCCCATACCTGAGTATGAAATGGGTATTGATACTATACTCGTTTATACCATGAATGCTATGAATAATCATAAAGTCTAAAGGGAGACACTCTCATTCAGGGACTACCACTTGTGCTGTCTACTTCCAGGGGATCCCAGAAACAGCATAGAATCTTGGGAGGAAATGGAAAATCACAACTTCCCTTATAGACTTAGCCGTTGCTGGAACACCTGGAGAGGCAGGTTCCAAGCACAACAGCACCACCTGCCACACTCAGCCGTCAAGCACACCCTTTTCAAAGAACTGCTCTGAAAGCTACCAAGCTGTTGAAACTGAACACCTAACTCAGGGAGGCCTGTGACTAACATCTTGGCATATGTCAGCTGGGATTCAGTGACAACCAAGGTAGAAGGGACCCAACAAGTCAAATGGACTTAGTATATTCAAGAACATAGTTCCTTCAATCTGGAGTGATCTTAGCTTTGCATGAAAAAGTGGCAGCTACCCCTTTGGGATAAACCATATGTCCCCTACCACTCCCTGAAGTAAAGTTTCTGGCTCAGTATGGCCCTCAGTTCACAGTGGTTTCCCTCAATGCCTGGGTCAAGGTGCTGATACGTTCAGCTAAGTTAAAAGCCAGTCGTGTCTTTGGACAGCTGCTGTTCAGCCAAGCTCAAGCTGTGTACCAGCAGCAGATGGCGTCAGTCTATTCAGTGGAGAGGATTCAAGGCAGTCCTCCTATTCCTGACTAGTCCCTGACCCTGTGATAAAACTTCCTACCTTTATACTGACTCCTGGGCTATTGCTGATGGCCTACCAGTCTGGTCTGCCACGTGGAAGACTACCAGTTGGCAGATTAAAGGCACCACTCTTTGGGGGCTCTACACTGTGAGGGTAAATTGCAGCTGCCCATCTGTTACTCTAGGTGTAGATGCAGGCTCATTCTCTGAATGGTGTCTGGCTGCTTGCAGAGACTGCAGCCCCCAGATTGCCGTGGCCGAGTCCTGGGTCCCCCACTGCACGGGAAAGGAAACACATCGCTGTGGTCATCTGGGAGCACAATAAAGGGCCGTGTGTTTCTGCTGTACAGTCTACACAGCATACCTGGCTTGTGACTTCTCCCAGAGGTGATGGTTTGTCCTGTGGAAAGGAGTCCACGTTGTACCAGGCACCCGCCCTCTCCTGGTAAACTGATTGTGTCAGACCTCTGACCCTGCTGCCATGGGTGCCTCATTTCAGGTTATGTTTTGCTCAGTCCAGTCAGCTAACTCTGGCCACCCTCTGTGGCCCCTGACACTAAACTGTTTTATATTGGGCTTTCCAGATCGCCTGCAGTCTGATGGTTATGCGCCTTGTTTCACAGAGGCTGTCACTAGGTCGGTAGCGAAAATAGCATTACACATTCTCTGCCATTCACAGGCATCTGATGTGGTGAGCACACTGGAATGGCTTCCTCAAAAATTAATATAAAAAGATTTGACCCTACTTCTATCACCTCCTAATCCATAGACCTTAGTAGGGCAGTTTGGTCTCTGAATGTGACCATTCTCAGAAAGGTTTCATCTCCTATGAAATGAAAAGGGTGAAAGAGGTAGGTGGTTATATAGACCTATTCAGGATCCCACCCTGGGCCTTGCTGGGCATGATGCAGCTTTGCCCCCAACAACAGCAACCATAGATCAGTCTGCTTGGTACAGCCTCTGTGAGGCAGGCCAGCCAGAAGGGGCTGAAGGAATTCAATCTTGAGTTTTGGTCTAGCCCTGTGGACTGTTTTGTTGGAAAGATATGGTCCCAGATCATGAAGATAACCACTTTGTTGAGTCCACTGTTTACCAAGTCCTCCTACAGTGGTCTGAGGCAGGGACATAATGGATATTTGTAAGGTTTTTTTAAAAATGTCCTGGTCTGACTATGCCTGACTTTTCCAGATAAAAGATCTGGGTATAAACAGAGGATAATTAGACATTAAGTGAAGTTACAGGTATTGGGATGGGACAAATTGATTTCATGGCTGATGAGGGAGAACCTCAACCCTAGCACCTGATCTTAGGCCCTGGAAGGTGCAGGAAAAGGAGAGTGTGTGTTTTCTTGGATCCTGGATCCAGCACTGCAGCCTGTCAGAGCAATCGTGGTCAGTCTGAGTCGACCAGCAGCTGTGGCCAACAGTCTGACCTGCTGCTGGGTTTGTCGTCCCCTCCGCGTACTGTGTGAACATGGCCAGTCCCGACTCATCACGGGGACCTGGTTCCCATCAGTGGCAGATCCTGAGTGTAGACCCTCCCTCCCCCAATTCATGTACAAACATGTGGACTGGCACAACCTTGTCTGTATCATAATGATACAAATTCATATACTTCTCCCCTAAGCAGCCTTGGGTTATGCTACGTATGGTGATTGAGGATACAACCTGGATGCTAGTTTAACAGTTTTGAACAGGAGTGGCATGTGCCTCTTTCAGGTTGCATGTTTTTACTTGAGGACAGAGGGCAGAGTATTTCCACTGGGGACAGGGCTTGTTGCTTTTTGACCCATTTGTTGCCCCCAGTAAATATTTGCAATGACAGCAAAGATCAGGTTGGTATAAACTCCGTTGTCCAGGTAGTAATGGGTAGTAGTGTGACCTCAGACGACAGCCTATCTGCCTGAAATAGGACAAGCCAGTCCCCAAGGGACTTATTCACAGTTGGCTAAATCTGGAGATTTGTGGGCATGGCTGAGGCTAATACTGCAGATGGGCCACATCTTGCTGCTGGGGTCCCATTGATAGCCTTAAGTAAATGCTATAGGAGACCAGTTAATTGAACAGTCTAGTCCCATCCTCTGTTGGTCATCAGTATGGCCGATGCTGGCATAGTCATAAAAATGTAAGTTTGGTCAGGAATTTCTCAGGCCAAAGGGTGGATTGTTGGGAAGGCCCCTGGCTGTCTTTCTGGGTACTCCAGGACTGAGACCTTGACTGCTCTTTACCCAGGCCATTTCTCAGGATCGTTTGCACCGAGCAGCTGTGAGGGATGAGTTGCTGTCTCCCTCTGGGATAAAGGGCAGCTTGCTTACCATTTGTTGTCAAACGACGGGTCCCCAATCTCAGTGTTTCTTAGCTGTGATGCATACCCACTGTGTGGAGGATTCCTGTGGGTCCATTTTCATTCCCATGGAACGTGGGGGCCGCAGAGAACTGATGCAGACACACTAATGCTTGTGCTGCTTGTGTGCCCTGAGTGTTCTTAGTTTCTGATCTAGAGGTCTTGTGTCTTCTGCCAGAACCCATGAAACAGTAAAAGGCCAACTTGCTGTAGGGGGAAATCAGTTCGCCAGCCTGATGATAGCATTAGGTTAACACATGTTTTTTCTTTTCTTTTTGTGAACCTTAGGCACATAGTCCTTGGTTTCTGACACAACATCGGCATTGGTCCTTAGTGGTTGTCTTCTCTGATTTAAGCAAATTATTTATTTACATGTATGCTTATAGTAATATAAATACTTTAATTTTTCCCTCTGTGTAAATGTTCCTAATTCCTAAATTATCTTGGGTTCTCATTTTCCTTTAGCTTTTCCTCATTTTCCAATAAAGAAATTACTGATTTATTCTACTTTTTCTGTTGTTCTACTCTATCTTTTGCATTCATATTTTCTTGTGCCATTGGTTGAGCTAAACACTTCGTTTATTTTTTTCCTATTCTGAATCATAACACATTTAGGTCTTTACTATGTGGTATTTTCATCTTCCCAATTTCAAGAAAACCTCCTCAATAGGAGCTTTGTTTTCTTGTTAGGGGCAGAGGGAGAAAGATACTCCCTTTAGATGGTGATGATTGCTGTCACTTTCTCCCAAATATAGGTCACATTTTAGTATAATATCTACCAAGTTTTGGGGCAGATCCAGACCATGCATCTTTGAACTGCGGAACAGGAAGTAGGGAAGAGATGAAGGATCATTTTACTTTTCTTTCTGGCAAATAGGTTATTGTGTTTCAAATGGTAAGATAATATGTTTTAAGTAGTAATGCTGACTAGCAGTTATGACTGAGTTAAATTATATAGGTCGTATAATTATTATGTTTTGTTTCCAAATAATGGTTTAAGGTTATTATTACTCTTTTTTCTTCATTACGAGTTTTTGACTTTTTCTCTGTCTTTGACAATAGTATTGGAGATTCCAGGAATAGTATTAGGGGCCGTATTATAAATGCCTCTTCAGATCACTGTGGCTCTCTTTTTTGTGACTTTATACTGTCCAAATGGAAAGCTTTATTTTTAAAGTAAAAAATAAATTATATGTAGTCATTACAAAAGAATTCACATAGTTCAAAAAAATGCAAAGTAGGAAGAAAAATTGACCCACAATTCTGTTAACAGTTCAGTATATTCTTTTTTAATGCATATATTCACATACAAATATATATATATTTTTTTAACCAACATGACATTCTACTATAAAGGATATCTCAGCACTTTTCCCCACTAAATTATACACCTTTACATGTCTTACATATAAATATAGGTATGCTTTGTTATTGCAGAGCAGGACCCATATATATTGTTTTTCTACCTGACACATAGTAGATGTTAAAAAGTATTAAATGAATGATACCATAATTAATCAACAAGTACATCTGATTATTCCCACCCCTGTGATAGATATAAAGTATTTTACATTTTTCATCTAAAACAATATCTAGTCAAATGTCCTTGTATGTATATCTTTATGTTGTCTTAGACAAATTTCTAGAACTAGAATCACTAGGTAAATAAGTGTGTACATTTAAAATTGGTACATCAAAATTGTTTAGAAAGCTAGTTAGGTTTTATGCTCTATATCTAACTTTCAGCAATGCTAATTATATTATTGCCCTTTATAATCTTAGTTCAATAAATGAAAATTTCTATTTTTAAATGTAATATATTCAGTTTTTAAAGACTGTTTTCTCTTTTACCCAGTAATTCCCTATACATGTAGGGTAGTTTTTCTTACCTATGATAGGCATATCCAAGCAGGTGATAAATGAATCACAGATGCAAACTTTGAAAGGTATGTATGTGTGTAGGTGTAGGAAGGCACTGTATTATGGACTCAAATAATAAATGAGACCTTACCTTATTCTCTGAAACATCTATTTCTTCTAATTTTTTCTCTTATATTCAATCTCAAGATTTATCCATTGTTTCACTAGCAGCCTTTCCAGTTACCTACCATAGTAAATTATTTGAAAACATCTTTTAGATGAGTATTAAAATGTAAGATACCCTGTATAAATTACTAGATGTACCTCTGCAGTACTGATTTGATAAAAATCAGTTCTTTAAATGATAATCCATTTGACTTGATGTCATTTGATGAATACAGTGTATACGTACAGCAAATTGTAAGATTCTCTTTTACTGCAGACTTCTAGAACTTCCCAGAGGCAACCAGTGCTATCAAGTTCTTATGTGTCCTTCAAGAAATAGTCAAGGCTTATATAATCATAATTACATAAATAAATACACCTATATTTATCATTAATGGTGGTAAGTCAGCCAACATTTCTTTCTTTTTTCTCTTTGACAGTATTCTTGATTGATAATTTAAGGAGAGGTTTGCAAGAGTAAGAGAAAAATAATCATTTCTTGAGCACCATGCTTGTACTTTATGCTCTGCTATATGATTTACAAGTTATTTTGTAAACCCATAGTAGGAGGTAGCTACCCTTGGAGGCAGCCCGAATTCCTCCTTCTGAACAGATAAATAGGCCCACTAGAGATCAAATCACTGGCTCAAGGTCACAAAGCTAATGAATAATTAAGCTAGAAGTTGAATCCAATTCTGCCTACCTTCAAGACCCACAGTCTTTTTTAGGAGCACCAGTAGCAGAAGCATTATTATTCATGCCTTCTTTTCTTTTCTCCTTTATTTGAAAGTAGTAAATGACTAAAAGATTGTAGAGACCTAAATTCGTTAAACAAAAAGCCATTTCTCAACACCTTTGTTATTCTTAATGTCATTATCTCTTGTTTTTCTTTCTGCCTATGTAAATTGTTTACAAAAAAAAAGATGTGGGTTTAGGAATTCCGTAGACATGAGTTGAAATTCCGGCTTTCCATTTTATGTTGTCATGGATTATTTAGCTGTCTGAGCCTCAGGAATCTTAAAAGTTTAAGTAAATATTAGTAACTCTCTAAAGGAATTGTTGAGAAGACAGAAGTCAGTAATATTTATAAAGAATCTAGCATAGTTCCCAGCAAACAGGTGGTGTCAAGGTCTTTTCTGGTGATAAGGCCAGACCATAGGACTTCTCTTATTTACTTTGATTATTCTTGAAGATTTAATGAGTTGGTATTCATATTAAGTACTGATAATTTTTGATATAGTTCCTTTGTTATGTTTTTCAAATGTGTAGAATCCATTTTCAGGAAATGATAAAATAATTCAGGAAATAATGAAGAATTATGTCCCTCTAATTGAAGAAAATATAAATTTTATTTCATTGAAAAATATGTTGCTGTTATATGTTACTGTTTAAAGATAGTGAACCTTGTTGGAAAATAAAGTATTTTTAGTACTCAGTTTGGGGGTCATCAGATTTTTCTTTTCTGTCGTTTAGTAGAAGGTATTTACACAAAATACCTCACTGCAGGAAATTTAAATTCTTTTTTGGTAATTTTTATATTTATATATATGTAAAATATGTGTTTATGTATTTTTTCCTCTGAGTTGTTTGATAAGGAGAAATTATAAAGTGTCATATATTTCTCATATGCTCTTTACTTTTTCTAGTCTTTTAAAAGTTTGTGTTTTGTTTCCATTTTAGGCCCAGACCTTACCTGTTTGAAGGAGATCATGAATTTCCCACAAATGAAGAAAACTTACCAGTGATTATTCTCTATGCAGAAATAGGTACCAGAGCATTTGGTCAGTTTCACACAGTACTGTCTGAAAAAGCTCGCAATGGGGAAATCCACTATGTTCTTCGGCATTACATTCAGGTTTGTGTTTGTTTCTATCCAAAATTATTTTGTCTATAAAGAATGTATATGACAATTTCCTAACCAGATTTTACATAATAATTTCCACCAGAACAGTTATTTAAAGATTTAAAACAATTAACACACTATCAAATGTAAATTTTATATGAAAAAAAGACATTGGGATTCTGTGTCTTTTCTGGGGCTATCATGTTTATATTCTTTTCCCTTATCGTATATAACTCAAAGAGATTAAAAACTTGGATAAAAACAAACCGAAGTGTGAAAATGTGTATATTTGCTGGGATTTATAAAAAGGTTTTTTTAAATAAAAGTATATTACAATGAGGAACTCTGATTTACTTGATATAGTATATATTCATTCAAAGTGCTAAGTATGGTATAAGAATACTCTTAACATATATCTTTGGACAGTTGGCTGCTTTCTTATTCACATTTCTGGTCAAATGTGTTATCCCCATTCTCCCAACCTCCCATTGCTGTCACACTCTTTCACATTATTCCATTTTAAAGACTTTGTAGCACTTGCTGCTGTAACGCAAATTTTATTTCTTTAACACCTCCCCTTTCCCCCAGGCACAAATTCTCATACTCACACACTAGATTATAATGGCCATTAGAAGAAGAGCTTTGCTTATTTTACTGCAATATTCCTAACATAGGAGTGTTTTAATTTGCATTTCCCAAAATACTAATTATTTGCATATTGATATCTAAGATATACTTGTTAATTGCCTCTCCTTGTCTTTTGCCTGTTTTTGTATTGGATTTTGGGGAGATTTTTTTCTAATTTACAGATTTGGAAACTATATTCTGCATACTAATCTTTTCCTCCATACTTTGCAAACATCTTCTAGTTTATTTCTGGTCTTCTGGTATTAGAAAAAAATTATTTATGACATGTTTTGTTCAACACAAGTATTAATTGTGAGGTAGTCAAATTTATCCAACTTTTTTTTAAATGGTTTCCTTCATGATGTCATAAACACATTCTCCTGTATTTCCTGTGACATTTTAAATACTATTTATGTTTTGGTCTTTAATCCATCTGGAATGTGTTTGAATATGATACGAGGTAGAGAGATGATTCTTGGAAAATCATTAATCCCCATATTATTCATGTATGTTTCTGACTATTCTGTCCCAATAATATGTCTATTCTACACAAACATAGCATTTAAACTCCTGTAGCTTTAAAATCTAAGGCATTTAGGTTCTTGAGAACAAAGAACAAAGCTGGAGCCATCACGCTTCCTAATTTCAAACTATACAAGACTATAGTATCAAAACAGTATAGTGTTAGTATAAAAACAGGTACATAGATCAGTGGAACAAAATAGAAACCTAAGAAATAAACTCATGCATATAGATCAACTAATATTTGACAAGGGATCCAAGAATGCTCAATAGGAAATAGTCTCTTCAATAACTGGTGCTGGGAAAACTGGGCAACCACATGCACGCAAAGGAAGGAAATTGGACCACTATCTTATACTGTTCACAAGAATTCACTTCAGGTGAATTAATGACTTAAACATAAAATCTGAAGCCATGAAACTCTTAGAAGAAACTAAGGGATAAGCTCCTTGACAACTGTCTTGGCAGTGTTTTTTTTTTTAATTTGACACCAAAAGCAAAGGCAACAAAAGCAAAAATAAACAAGTAGGACAACATCAAACTGGAAAGCCTCTGCACAGCAGAGGACGCTATCACAGTATGAAAGGCATACAAGTCAATAGCAGAAAAACACAATCCAATTAAAAATGGACAAAGGATCTGAGTAGATATTTAACAAGAAGATACAGAAATGGCCCACAGGTACATAAAAAGCCGCTTGACATTGCTAATCATCAGGGAACTGGGAATCAGAACCACAGTGAGGTAGTGCCGCACACCTGTTAAGAGTGTCTACTAGCAAAAAGTCAAGAGATAACAAGTGTTGGTGAGGATGTGGAGAAAAGGGACCCCTTGTGCACTGTTGTGCAGTCACTGTGGAAAACAGTATGGAGGTTCCTCAAAAAAATTTTGAAAAGAAATACCATATGATTCAACAGTTGCACTTCTGGACATATATCCAAAGGAAATTAAAACACTAATTTGAAATGATATCTGCACCCCCTTGTTCACTGCAGAACTGCAGCATTAATTACAGTAGCCAAGATATGGGAACAACCTAGCATCCATTGAATGAATGGATGAAGAAAATGTGGTGTATGTACATACACCACAGAACATCATTCAACCTTTAAAAAGAAGAAAATCCTGCCATTTGTGACAATGTGGGTGGACCTTAAAGGCATTATGCTAAGTGAAATAAGTCAGACAGAGACAAATACTGTATAATCTCAATTATATGTAGAATCTAAATAAACAGACCTATAGAAACACAGAACAGATTGGTAGTTGGTGATTGTGTTGTGGGGTGTGGGGAGATGATGGGTGAAGGTGGTCAAAAGGTACAAACTTCCAGTTACTAGATAAATTCTGGGTTGTAATGTACAGCATGGTGGCCATAGTTTGTACTTTATTGCATATTTAAAAGTTGCTAAGAAAGTAGATTTTAAAAGTTCTCATCACAAGAAAGAAACTATGTGAGATATCAATGTTAATTAGACTTAACTGTGGTAATCATTTTGTTATGTATACATACATCAAATCATGTTGAACACACCTTAAAGTAATGCAATGTTGTGTATGTGTCAATTGTATCAGAATAGGAATGGAAGTGGGAAATCGAAGTGTATGTTCATCTTTTAAAAAAATCTTCCCCTAGTGATTCTAATGTCCCCAGGAGGTATGCTCATCTATTGAGAATCGATGTCCCAAATTATTCTTTGGAGAATATGACCATTAAATAAACTGTGAAATCATGGTAGCCAACTATCTAAGTACTTTGTAGCATCAAATTATAACCTTCTATTTAATGGATATTATGGATTCAAAATAGTTTTAATGTAAATCTGGTCGACATGTTATTCTAATAAAAATAGGTTATGCTAGCTTTTTAACAAATGCCTTTTTGTGGGCAAAGAAGAAATAGAAAAATAAAGATGCCTTTTACCAGCTGATTTAGCCTATGCATATTTTTGGACTGCAAATCCAAACTTCCTAAATTACAACTCAAATTTTATATTAATGCATTTTCAAATGGAGAAAGTAAATAAAAATTTAATAAACATTATCTTTATTACAGAGGCATTAATAATATTCCAGTACTGATATTGGAAATTGGTTATGTGAAATTACATCTCTTTTATGAACTGTAATAAGCTATGTGTACCCAGAGCTTCAATTTGCTTAGCCACCAACTGATTGTCTTTGGAGTGGATAGTCAAAATGTATTTTTAAATTGAGGGGTATGAAATTGAAAACCCTAAAATATTTTCAACTTTGTCAGATTACTGTAATTATAAACAACCCAGTTTCCTCATGCTATCTTTCGTTATAGCATGTGCCTGAGAAATTAGCAAATTAAATTTTCCTGTGGGCAGCAATGTTAAATACTTGTCTGCATATCTGAAACTAATTCTTCTATCATCTTACTTGGAAATAGACTAGTCCAGGAATAGCCACTCTGGTGTAGCCTTATTTGTAAGGCTGGGGGAGTAGTATAAGGAGGAAAGAAGAAAATAAAAGTGTAACATATTATTAGATTTCTCCTTCCCTCCAGTGTCCACCTCTTCCTCTGTCACATTAGGATTGCAAAACTGCCCATGTGAGAAGTATGGCATGGAGAAGACAAGTAATGACTCTATGGCATCTTACTGTACTGATAGACAGTGACTGCAATGGGTAGTGGGGTGGTGAGGACTTGGTAATATGAGTGAATATTGAAACCACAATGTTTCTCATGTGAAACATTCATGAGTTTGTATATCAATGATATTTTTATTAAAAAAAAAACCCTGCCCATGTGCACACACGAACCGAGCAAAGACACAGGGCACCTTTGAAGGAGTTTGGTGAGCACTAGGTTAAACTGGTTCCCTCACCTGTGAAAAAATGTGCCAATTGATGATTGTGGCACAACTGGTAGGAATTTCAGTCTGGAAGCTAGAAGGAACCATAGACATCTTCTAAAATATTATGTATATTCATCCAGGCTGCTCACCTTTTGAAAAAATGTGGTGGCTTCTCTTCTCTGATGGAGTAATTTCTAGAAGTACATTTTATATTAGCACTTTATAAGAAGGGGAAAATTGGTTACCAAAATTCTAATCATAAATAGTTGATATAACTCAGGTGAGACAGTCGTTGCCCCTCATTGCAAGAATAGCTATTAATTTATAGCATTTGATATGTTTTAATCATTGAGAACCATGAAGAAAAATATAATCAGGTTGTTCAAGGCACTGAAGTTGTTTCATCTCCTTTGCCTCTTACTTTCCAGTGTTTGCCTTTGGCAACACTGTGATTGTCCTATATCTAGACAAGTAGCAAATGAATCCCATTCGCTGGTTTAGTAAATCTTGTTCGCAGAAAAGAGTACAGTTTTATGGAGACCTGATTGTACTGGATCTTCTGTTAGTTAATAAGGGAGAACAGGAAAGGTACCCTGGTATAACATCAGATTTTTTCATTTTAGCAGAGTAATTAAAACAGTAAAGTTTTTAGTAAGGAAATGGTCAAAAAAATTCTTATTCCTTGACAGACTATCTAATGAGAGTATAAATATCCCCAAATAATAAAATATTTCACAGTGTTTAAAAAACTTCAATGTAAGTAATTCACCCTAGTGTCCTAATCACAGTCATACTAAATTTAAAAGATGTTTGACTAAATATTTTCTCTTTTTTTTTGAAATGAATGTGTTCAAACAGAAACCAGTCTCACAGAAGATGTACTTATCTGGCTATGGTGTGGAGTTAGCGATTAAGAGTACAGAATACAAAGCACTGGATGACACCCAAGTTAAAGGTCAGTTTCTCTCTGTACTTGAGGAGAATGAAAATTTGGAGGCTCACATACTTTTGTCTTTAAAAGTACGTTTTGTTTGGCTGTAATCCATGTGTCAGTTTGAGGCTGGAGGTAGGGTAGGCATGTTTCTCCTTAGTTTGGAATTTAATTTTAAACTGAAAGACATATATTTAAGAGTACTGTCCTCTCAAAAACTTGTATCGAAATTGCAAAGAGCATATTATTTTGCTTGAATCCAGTGGCTTCCCAACAATTTTTTTAGCACCATCCAAAAAATTGTATGTAAAGTACACTGAGGCAACAGATGAGGCTGCTTATGGCGGGAGGTGACTGACCAAGAGCCCCAGCTGCCTCCTGATCCCAGCCACCCCCACCGCAGTGGGGGAGCTCTGAGGCGTGTGTATCTCAGGACACCTACACGTCATTGGTAATACACCGCCTTAGGAAGCCTTGTCTGAAGTGTTCATTTATCATGAAACCAGGGTGGTGGTATTGTTTGGGTTTTTTTTTTTAAGTGGGATGGGCGAACCTGTGAATCATTTGTTTAGATGAAGTAGATTGATAAGATTTGTGACCTAGTATCACAAACCAGTATGTGTCTGTGGTTCTGTGTTCTGAATGCATGGTCTCGGTGAAGGACTTGAGTCCTAAAAAAAAAAAGGCTAAAGAATTTTTCAGAAATCTTCTATTACCTGGTTCATCAGAAATTTATTTATCCCCGATTCTTAGTTAAGAGTTTCGGCTCATTCTTCTCTGTGCTCTCAAGTGTGGCTTCTGCTTCAACTTTTTGTTCTATTGAGGGTATGGTCCTGAGGGCTCTGCCCTTTAGCCTGGCCATTCCTCCTGAAGGTGCTCAGATAAAGACCTGTATTACTATGATTTAAAGATCTGCAACACTATGTACAGCGATGCGTGTTACTGCCAGTTAAAGAGTTCCTGAAAAAGTATGGTAGAAATAAAAATACCCAGATTTTATGTATTTCTGTGTAGCTTTTATGTAGCTTTATAATTTAGCATCTTACTTAATAGTTGTGATGGTAACAGAAGGCCCTTTCTAGCTATTCTTGAGCTTGTAGACTTGTTTAAGAAGTGATCACATAGATTATCTACATTACAGTTTGCACACTAAACTCTGTTGTCACCCTTTCACAGGTGTCTAGAATATACTGCCTCCTCTCCATTCCAGCTGCTGCTGCTTTAGGTCAGGTCTCCTTTCCCCTCTGTATATGTGAATGGGGCTTCTAACTGCCTTCTCTCTGATCTTTGGTCTTCAGTGCCCTCAGTCCCCCAACCCCCAAAATAGACTAGTCAGTATTCTCCAATTGATTTTGTGACTCCACCACTCAAAATCCCTAAGTGGCTCCCCGTAACATCCCTCTAAATTCCAGTGCCGTAGCATAGTCAAGAAACCTTTTCTACTCTGACCTCTTTCTGCCTTTTCATCTTCCCTCAGCCCTTTCCCATTTGTACCTTCTGGTCCTGCCACACTAAACTGCTGTACAGAATCATTTGCTGTCCTCTGGGTGCCTCCACAGTTGGCTCCACGCCAAACCTGTGTGCCGGTGATAGAGTGCTTTCATCCCTTCGCATATGCTGTTCCTTCCTCCTCCCCCACCTCTTTCACTTCCCTGAAGGCCTAGTCATTTTTAAGACTCATATATATCAGTACGTCTGAGATGGCTACCTGTCTTCCTGCCCTGTCAGAGAATGGTTTTCCCCTTTCTATATGCCATATATTCTGGGCTTTTTTTTGGAAAATTTTTATGCACTGTGAAAAGTGCCTACCTATTTAACTCCTCTTCACCAAGTGGAGTTCGTGTCTTCTGTGTCCTGCTTCCTGGTGTCTGTCCCAGCGCCACGGAGAAAAAGGAAGGCTAGGTGAAAGCCCCCAGGGTTTATAGCTGTAGCCCTTGAGAGCCAGACCTTCAGAGGAATAGGCCGGGCGAAGTGTGCCTGATGAGAGAGCAGCCCGGGCGGAGGGAGATCACACGTTCTCATGACCCCAAAGTTATCTTCCCTATGACGCTTGCTACACTGTGTTATTAGAATCACTTGGGAAGAAAGAAGAGAAAGCGAAGGGAAATGACTGCAATGCTATATCCTAACTGTTTGAGGCCAGGAATTTTGCTCTTTCTAAAGACTTCTTGATCTTCAAAGGTGTCAGAAACATGCAAGAACTCTTACATTTGTTAGGGTTTGGATATCTCCTGCCTGATTTAAGACCTAAACCCAGGATTTGTTGCAGGTCCTTTGGTTTATCATTTTTGTTATAAAATAGAATTTGTCTATGAAATAATCTACAAAATTTTTTTTTGCAGTTTATTGCAGTTGTAAAATATTTAATCATCAGCCTGAGCCTGTTTACCAGGAGAGAACATGCAGGAAGTATATGCACCTGTGTGTGTCATTAAGCTGATCAAAGGAAGAAAACCAGAGAATTTAATTAATTAATTAAAACAAATGGAATTTAATTTCATTTTGAGTTCTTCTATTTTTTTATTATATGTTCCTTTCCCAGTATGAATATGTTTTTGTTTTGTTTTTGTTTCCAAAATATAGCTGTGACTAATACTACTGTAGAAGATGAGATTGAAACAAATGAAGTTCAAGGATTTCTCTTTGGGAAACTAAAGTAAGTCTATATTGAAATGAAATTGTATTACTATACTCTTAAGTTCATTTTTAAAGGAATTAATTCAGTATGATGTGTTGGCATATTTCACATTTTAAAATACACATATATTTGTTTTATTTATTACAGAAGTAACATGGTTAATGCAAGTAAGCAAAAAAATTGAGAAAAAATAATCAGTAATTCCACAGTGTGCTGAGTATGATTAGAAAAATAGGACTTGAAAATGATCCAAGTTATCTCTGGCAAAAAACTAAAAACTTTATAGAATCATTTACAAATCTATTGGGTTACAAAAATCAATATTAATATTGGTCTTAAGCATGAAATATTCAAAATTTTTATGTCTCAAAAGAAGAGAAAGTATTTATTTTTCTAAAATTCTGTGCCACAGATTGTCATATTTAAAACCTTTCAACATCGGGTCTTAATTTCATGTAGACGTATGAGTAACCTTTCAAAAATTTAAGTTGTGCATCTTTTTCCCCCTGCATCCTGATTGAGGACGAGGCAGAGGATGGTGAGTTGCCCTCTGAACACTCTTGAATGGAGATTGTGGTAGTTTTTTGTGTGTTTTCCCTTATTTACAAGGAGGGAAAGTTTGTGATTCCATTAGAAAGGTAAAATTAAGTAAAAGTAAAGGACTGTTTTTATTAATATGTTTAGTTCTTATTTAGTTTTATAAGTGTTTATAAAGGACACTAAGGTCAATTCTGTTGAATAGGTAACTGTACATTTTGTACAAAATGTGCAGTTGTACAAGGGGAACATTTTGGAGACTAAGCTGACGTACACAGATGATGAAGTTACATTTCTAAAATATGTTGGCCAAGTGGTATACTAGTATCCTTAAAAAGTTAATGCATCTTGCAAATTGTATTTATTCTAAATAAGGTATCTGTTCAGTATAAAACAATACGTTTTCATTACCTTTTCACCTCTGTCTCAACATTTTGGAATCCATTGTTCTATTCTTTTTTTAAACATAACTTTTTATGGAAATAAATTGTACATCCTCCAAAAAGCCTTTGGAACTCTGGAATATAAGTTTTTTGGAAAAGGAAATAGTTCTTAACACAATTATTCAATTGATTTAGGCAATCCTTTGCTTTGAGGTATTATATGAATAATGTATTTTTGTCTGACTACATAAATAATTTTAGTAGTGAAAATTATTAAAATGAATAAATATAAAAATAATATAATAGCTCTTACAAACTTACTGCTCTATAACTTAACATATTGAAAATGAAGAGTTAATTTAATTCTTAGTGAACTACTTTTCAGGAGAAAATATCACTATAGGAATAGTCATAGTCAGTCTTGATTCATTTTCAAAATGTCCCATGTTTTAATAAAATTGTGATATTGGCATTATAGTATGTTTATTAACTATAAGATTAATGCATTTCTGTATGTGTTCTGTTGATTTTAAAAAGAAAAATGAAAAACAATTTACTGTTGAAAGTATGTGTTCTGTAAGTTGTTCTTGCTGATAGCTACAGTGTTTTTAAGAATTCTATTTAAATCTGAAATAGCACCTAGGTCTTGATTTTATGAGAGAGAGAAGAAAGAAGATTTTAGTTTAGAAACATATGTATAGTAAAATATTTTTACTACATTATTATTTGGCTCTGTAAAGGATACCTAGATGTCTTTATTTATGTTTATGTTTTTTGTAAGTTTTTGTTTTTTGTAAGTTTCAAAGTTGAAACTTTTCAGAAATAAACTTGTATGGGAAGCATTAATATCCTATGAAAGTTTTTGTTTTGTATTATAAAAATGATACTTGTGATTTATAAAATATTCAAATGAAGAGTATAGAACATTAAAACGAATAATTCTACCTTCATCCTTGGGTCAGTTATAGTAATGTTAACATGAAAACAGTTGAGAGTACGTCCCTCCAGATTTTGTTTTGTTTTATATATTGAAAAAAATATTTTTTCATTATTTGAAATAATAATTTTCATTATTTTAAAGTTCTGTGGAGATAGCTGCATCATAGTTTATTATTACAATTTGTTTCTAATTATTTGAAAGTTAATTTTAAAAATACACTGCTTACATAATGATTTGTAATAGGTGATGATAATTAACTTAATATTTTAATGCAGAGAAAGATATTCAGATCTTAAAGATAATTTGACAGCATTTCAGAAATACCTTATTGAGAGCAACAAAGAAATGATGCCTTTGAAAGCCTGGGAACTACAAGGTATAGTACTTTGGTCTACCTTAGCACAGTTATTTTGGTAACTGATCTCTGTATTGTTAAATTAGCTTTTGTGTAACATGACATAAATTACTTCATACTGTAATAGCTAATAATGTAATGTAAACTATTATATTAGTTGGAAATACATAATTAAGAGGTTATTCATCAAGCAATAAATTACTTCATATCGTAATAGTTAATAATGTAATGTAAACTATTATATTAGTTGGAAATACATAATTAAGAGGTTATTCATCAAGCAAGTCAATGTTTATATTTGTAGGAGTTAGAATTATATGAAGTGTACTTATTTGATAGTCTCGAAACATTTCTAAGTATCTACTGATTTCTTAGATGTTCATCTCAAGTGTTAAATTATGTTTTAAGCAATCTACAATATTGATTAAAAATTCTGACTAGTCTGTCAGAAGAAATCAGAACTGTATCTTAGTTTTCTTCTATTTATAATTTTGAGCTTAATAGACCATTTTGACCTTAATAGCATGTTCGCTGTTAGCTTAGAATAGCTTCTGTGCTGACATCCTATAAGCAGGTATTTTGTGACCACAATTTAGTTTGGATTGAATTGTTAATCCTTTTCAGTTTAGTTTGGATTGAATTATTAATCCTTTTTGGTTTGTAATTTTATTTTTTAATATTTGTGATTTTTTAGTAGGATGTAGGGACATGCCATTTTCTGTGTACTCCATAACTTTTATCATATGTCTCATCAACTTTCTTTTAACATAATAACTTATTGAGATATTATTGATATACTATACAGTTCATTTGAAGTGTACATTCAGTGAATTTTAGAATATTTTTAGACTTCTTTAACTGTTACTACAGTCAATTTTAGGGTATTTTCAACTCCCCATGAAGAAACAAACTTACCTATTATCAGTCCCTGCCTATTTCCCCCAACTCCTCCAGCTCTAAACAAGTACCAGTCTACTTTCTTCTCCTTCAGAATGTTCTCCAAGGCACAGCTAATTTAGAAAATTGTGATGGGGTACTTTTGAAGACTTATAAACAGAGAACATGCATAGTCAGCTTAGCTTTAGTTAGCCTTCCTAATGTTTGTGTGCAATACATTTGAAGGGACTAGAAACAAGAAATCTAGTTAAGACATCATTGAAATAGTGTAATAAAAGATTGAACTCTGACTGTGGTCAAAGGCATAGAGTAGGCGGCTGGTTTGGGAAAATAGGAGATAAAAGGAGTCAAAGATGGCTTTAAGATTTCCAGCTTTAAGCCTGAGTATCAAGAATATAAAACATGTAAGTAGATTTGGAGGTTGAATATGGGGCTTAGGAATAATGATATTGGCATTAAAAAGGTTGACTTAAAGTGATTGTAGCTTATCTAGATGACAAGGTCTAAAGTGGGGTGAATATAAAGTCCTTAAGCTAAAAGGAGAGGATATAAAAAGTTGAAAATCTTAGCATAAAGGTTTTCCAAAGGAGAAGGTGCTAACTGAAAGTGTTGAGTGATATATCAGTGCACAAAGGAGGGTGCTGGGTGCCCATCCCCACGTGGAAAGTAGAGCCAAGGAAGAAGACATGGCAGAATGATGAGAAGTGGAAGAACACATTGTAGAAGCTAAAGGAAATAGATTTTCAGGAAAGAATGTGATCAGTACATTTTCTTCCTTTTTTTAATTGATATAATAAATATTTATTGAATGTCTGCTAGGTGTCAGTCAGTCATTACATCCATGGGTTCATAAATTTTTGGCTGACACCTATAGTAGAAAATGTACTTTATACCATGTTCCATATACAAATGTACAATTTATGCTCAAAACTAAAAAAAAAAGCTTCAGCATATGATATATATGTTTACAATTTTTTATTCAGTCTGACAAAACTTTCTTTTATTCTACTCTATTTCAGTAGAAAGAAGAACTTCACATTATCCACTAATCTGATTTCACTACTTACTAATAGATTCCAACTGACATTTTGAAAAATACTAGATTCTGAAGATAAAATTATCTAAAACAGACACCACATTTCCTCAGAGGATCTTAGATAAACAAAAGTAACTTAAAAATATATAAAAATCACCATTAAATTGCTGCAGAATAGAGGTAGATAGGATTACGAAGGGTAAATGCCAGGAAATCTGAACTAGTGAGAGATGGAAAGGGAAGGGAAGGGGGAACAGAAAGCAGAGGCTTCATCAAGAAGTGGAGATTGTTTGAGACTGAAGAGGGGTTGGACTGAATTGAGGAGGTGGGTAATGTAGAGAGAATACCAAGGATCTTTGTGAGAGGTTCACTATGGAGTGTGAGGTAAAAGGAGATATCAATAAAAACTGGATTCATTTTTTGCCCACTGGATGGACAATGGTGGTATTTAATGAATAGAGAGGACTAAAGACAACCAGATTTGGGCAACGATGGGGCAGAAAGATCACAAAATTTTTTTATTAAACATGCTGCTTTTGAAGTACCCAAGTGGTAAAACCAAAACAGCTAAATATGGGGTTCTGAATTTCAGAGGCAAAGTATAGGGCTTAAATAGCAATTTAAGAGTCATCTAAGTATGGAGCAGTTCAGTAAAACGTAAAAATAATGTTAATAGAATATGCTAATACTCATTTGTTATTTACACCCTGATTCATAATTGAATTTTCAGGAGCTTTCAAATGAATTATGTGCAGAAAACTGGTCATGTGATGGGGCATTATATTCATGTTATAAAAAGTTTTTAAAGACTGGTTGTACTATCAAACCTGAATAAAAATAGTTACTCATGATGGTGATGATGATTGGCAATGATAAAAATATTAGCCAGTACTATATATCTGGCTCTCAATATGCATTATCCTAATTAACTTTTTAAAAACTCAAGTGAAGTAGATATCCCACTTTTCTAGGTGAGGAAACTAAGAAATGGAAACATAAAATAATTAGTCCAGAATCACAAATCTGCTAAAGCACAGTCAGGGATACCTAAAATAAGCAGGTCTGTCTTATTTTAGAACCTAAATTCTTTCTTTATCACTATATTGTACTGTTTCAGTGTATAGTGTTGTGGAGCCAAATGCTGTCAGGCAAGATCTTTGATTATATACTATCCTCAGATACCTTTTTTGGATAATTTCCTTGCTGTGCAGAAGCTCTTTAGTATGATAAAGTCTCACCTGTTTATTTTTGCTTCTGTTGCTTTTGGTATCAAATTTAAAAAAATCATTACCAAGATCAATGTCCAGTAGCTTACCACTATGTTTTCTTCCAGGAAAGTTAACTTGTCTAATCCATTTTGAGTTTGTTTTTATGTATAGTGTGAAATAGTTCTTCAGTTTCCTTCCTTAACATGTGAATACCAAGTTTACCCAGCACCAGTTACTGAATAAAAGCCACTGTTTCTTTGCATGAAGAAATCCTATTGCAAAAGGATCCTAGTAAGATAAGAAGTGAAAAATGCCCATTGTGTTTGTCAGTTAGGAGATACTAGTGAGCACCGCTACCTTCAGTGTAATAGTGGAGGCTGGCAACATGCTAAGGTAGGTTGAGGAAATTTCATTTAAGTTATTTATCTAGAAAGGGTTAGAGAACTGGAATTTGAATTTTGGTCTATTAGGCTCTCCACCACACCAGAGGCTACCCGAAAAAAACCTTTGTCTAGGCTTAACTCCCACCTCATCCACCACTTCACACTGAGACTATGGAAACAAAACCAGTCTTATTTTGTTAAACTCGTTATTTTACTAGTATTTGATAAACTAGAATTCTACTTCTCGTGAAATGTTCAAGAGAAACAGTAGGCTTCACTATTAGGTAATGAAGGAATTCAGTTGTAAAACCTTTTCTGATTCTTGACAACGTAATGAGACTGACTGCAGTAATCCACACATATAGTCCTTTCCATAGGATTCTCATTTCAGGTAAAATAACACTAAGTCTCAGATTTTATTTTTATTGTAGTATAAAGGTAGAACAATGTTGAAAGAATGAACATTTCATATTTACTGAGTTAAACACGTTGGATCTTTGAGTTATTTTCAGAATTGGCTCTTCAATGCTCTCTTTTCCTTCCTCTTATTATTCTTTGTATCAAAGCTTTTGTAGCATGTTTCATTTAACTTAATTATAGAAAAAATAGCTTTGCATCAACATTTCTTTCCATATATCTCTTTTTGAAGTTATACAGTAATTCGAGGAAAACAAATAATAGGTGTTAAATCATAATTACTCATTCATAAAAGTATAAAGCTTATCTTAATTGGACCTAGTATTAACTTTCCATTTAAAAGTTTAGAAAATGCTAAATGTAAGAGTGTTAATGTGTCTATATATAAATTTGGCAAGAAGGGTTGACTAAATTATTTAAATTACATGGAAGTATCTATAACTGTCTGACGTTATTCTAGATCCTTAATGATATTTCTTCCTTCCAGATCTTAGTTTTAAAGCAGCTTCTCAAATAATGTCCACTCCAGTTTATGATGCCATAAAGTTAATGAAAGACATTTCACAGAACTTCCCCATAAAAGCCAGGTATATTAAAGTTTATTGGTTTTATTATAGCCAGAATTCTTTCCATTAAATAAATTTTATGAAAAACAACTGATTTAAATTCATGATGTCAGTGAATTATAGTATATGTAATATTTATAAGATCAGGGTTTTTCTTCATTATGTACATTGGTTTTTATTTACTAGAGGAGAGTAATGGTTGTGTACATACTACAGAAAACAACTCTTGAATTAGAGGCAACTGTAAAGGAAAAAATTTATTTTAAAAATTATTTGAACATAAACAGTGAGACATGGTAATCCAAGAAAAACTTGTTGAAGCAATAAATAATAAGGGATTATTTTTCTCTTCCCCATATGATGATGAAAAGTATTATTCTAAATAGATCTATGCCCAAAGAACTGCCTAAAACAGAACTTTGCATTAGCAGTCTTAATTTTTAAATCATTTTCTTTGCATGAGATTGACAGATCAGTGACTAATTAAGCATTCTTAGGAGTTGTAAAGTCAAATAAGTATAGTTAATAGCCTTATTTTTAAAATATTCTAAAAAATGTAATTCTCATAAATTACATTTGTTCTTTAAGAATTAATATGTGAAGTCAGTTTTATCAATATTTTAGAACTTATATACTCAGGTAAAGATCCCAGGTTACTAAAATTTTTTTTGTACAAGTATTCTTAAAAATTGCCTATTTGCATTGACACATATGACATTGGTAATTTCAAATAGAATTTCTTTGTATGGGCAAAACAATACAAAATAGCATTTTCAGTCACTTGTTTTTGAAAAAATAAGTATTTTGTAGCAAAGAAGCTCTGATAATAATGCATGCAGTTAGTGCACATGAACATTTGACAGTGTCTGTTCCATTTGAATCGAGTACCATTGTCAAATGAAAGCCGTGGTACCACTTGCTCAGTAGTCTATATGGAAATGTGTATCTGTAGCCATGAAGTGTTCGGGGTTTTTAGTTTCTTATCTGAGTAATGTATTATATTGAATTACAGATTAGTACTACATATTTAAGAAAGAATGAATTATATCAGTACTTATTTTCCCAGATCTCTGACCAGAATTCCTGTAAATCAACATCTGAGGGAGGAAATACAGGAAAATCAAAAGGTTTGTTTGAGTTCCTTTTCTAAAAAATTTACCACACTAATATGACATATGCAACTAGGCATTCTTAGGAATTATTAAGTCAAATAAGTATAGTTGGTAGGCTACAAAAATATTGAACATCAAGAATTCAGGGAGTGCTTGAATCTGTATAAAGACCGCACTTCTTTTTTGCGTGTAAACTTTTGGTTTACATGTTTTGCAGGAATATTCTTTGGTATGTAGAGAAGAAATGCTGGAGCAGTGACACACTTCCGGGGCAGCCACGTGCCCAGTCAGTCCGTGAGGAACACTGCCAAGGACACTCCAAGATGATGTGAATTTCTAGTTAGAAGCACTCTCTTCTCTGAGGTTGGAACCCCAGTTTGTTAGCTTACTGCTCCCAAGAGTGCTTTCTGAGAAATTTCTCCCAACCAAGAACTGATCAAAGACACTTTGACAGAATACTGTCTGTTGAGCATTGGATATGTTTATCGTAGGACCAAAACTGAAACAGAGGTAAGGGAAAGCTGGTGGCTTAGTAGGTAAATAGTACTCAGACAATGATAAAATGTTGCAACTAATAGAAATCCTGGGAGGTGTAGGAAATAGAACAGACTTGCTGACTGCCTTGGCTGCCTTGGTGGTCCGCTTCAGCTGCCCTCTTCAGAGTGCACCGAGAGAAAGACAGATGGTAATGGCTTTTGTGTTATTAATCTTGGGGGAATGTGTTTGGACTGGTAGTCCACGTGGCTCACTACCACGTGGGGGATGTGGGTGGTAACCAAACAAGCTGGGGTTCCAACCTGGGAGAAGAGAGTGTTTGTAACTAGAAGTTCACGTCGTTGTGGAGCGGCCTTGGCAGTGTTCATCACGGACTGGGCACGTGGTGCCCCGGAAGTGCGTCAGTGCCCCAGCATCTCTTCTCTGCACACTGAAGAATAATTCCTGCAAAACATGTAGACCAAAGGTTTACAAGCAAAAAAGAAATAAATGGTCTTTAACTATACAGAAGGATGATCTATCGTCACTCATAATAAGATACGTAGAGATCAGTTAAACTAAGGTACCAGATTTTTAAAATTCCAGAATTTGAGGGTGCTGTCTGTTGGTAAGTCTGTCTTTTTTGTGTAAGAAATTCAGGTGAACAAGATACACATTTGTATATTTGCAAAAAGGAACACCAGAAGGATGAACAAGAAAAAAAAGGTTATCTCTAAGGGTCATGGATAGATAAGGAGAAAGAGTGGAAGTTGCTGGAATGAGCACAGGAATTCTTTGTATAGGTTTTTGATAAGTTTTTATAAGTATTGACTTTGAACTCATGCAAAGATTCAGAAAATATTCTGACTGTTGAATTCATTTAAGTGAATTTGGGTTTTGTTTTATTCAGGAGGCAACTTCTTTAACTCTAACAAATTTCGCTTCAAAGTTCATAATTGTTATTTTGCTCAGAGACTGGCCCAAATCCACTTCCGGTGATTTTAAATTCAATGATAATCCAGTGTGTATCTGTTACTGTTCACTGTAAGAACTGTTAATTATATTCCATAACATTTTTTTGTTTGGGAAAAATGGAAATATGGGCAGTTAGCCCAGTAAACACCCCCTCCTTTTTTTTACTTCAGCAGTGTGAAACAGATCATTGCAATTACATAATTACATAATAAACCAAATGCAGATATTTAAATACAAAATTCAAATAAAGGATTATACCTCATCCAAAAAAAGTTCACACCTTTTCTAATCATGTCAACTAATTATTTAGACTGTGTGGCAGTTTGAGTTCTAGAGAAAAATCCCTAAATTAGAGTATCTTCTCCAAAATTTCCTCTGTAAAACATGCATTTTTCAGAATCTTATCTTCTCTTGTCACTCATACTGAAAAAAAGAAAAAGTTCTCTATATTAAAATTTATATCTGATTGAACTTCAAATTTTAAATTTAGAATTTATGTAGTTTCAGTTTAGGAACCTCCAGACATGACTATAAGAAATTTACCATTATAAAGCTCAACCAGAGAGATTTCTCTTCTGAGATCCAGTCAATTAGATTTTTTTAGGTTCAGGTAATGACCAGCAACTTTAGCTATTAAAGGAATATATTAGAATACCTGTTCCTTCCTTTTTTGAAAGAGATTATATTTTTTCCATGGGTATTTGTAGTTGTTTCTGCTCAAACCCTAAGCGCACTCCCAACTTAATTCCACTTTTAATAAAATGTCTTTGTCTTTTTCTAGACCTTAAAAATAGTGTAAACTCAAGCCTCAAACTCATATGAAGATAAATCAGAGGCCATGAGTTCTCATGGAAGACTTGTTCTTCCTCCACCAAGGATCAAGTTGAGATTGACAAGTTTTCAAAGCTGTTTTTGCAGGCCGTTTGGTTTTCTAGGTCACCTTTTCACTGTGAATGTGGCCATATTTTGTGTGCACAAAGATATCTCTGGCCTTGCTCCCTGCCTTGGATGGGCCCAAGGCTTTGCCTCCTGTAATTCTGTGACTGACTTTTAAAAACTCAAGCTTTAGGCCTCCTAGGAAGCTTGCAATTTGGTCAAAGCAGGGCCTTCAGTGTTGGTTTTCATCCTTGAACTCATATTCTCACTTCTTTGCTGTTAGATGGAAGTCCTTACTTTTAAAAGCTAAGCCATTCATTTAGAGTAAATTTTTAATATTTTTGTCTAGCATTTCAAGTTTTCTTTCAGTAAGGAGGATTTCATGATCCTCCTTTTTTTATATGGACCAGAGGGTCCATATTGCTAAAAACTGAAAACTTACTCCTTGATTTAAGAAGGGCTGCTTTAGATGATACACTCTGGGGAATTTGCCAGGATTTAAGGGGAAGGGGAAATAATTTATCAGCTCCACTTTCCACCAGACTAACAGTATTTCAGCCATCAACTTCACTGAGTTCAATTTATTACCCTTTTAGCATCTTCTTTATTCAAGGTACTGTGCCTGGCATAACCATGCTTGAGAGAATTAGCAGTTTAGAATAGATGTGTGTGCTCGGTCTGCTCTCCACTTAGAGTAAAGGTGTAAAATGGATGAGGTGCTGGAGGGAGCTTGAGACAATGTGGATGAGCGTTCAGTGCAGTTTGGGGAAAACAGGCAATGAGTTCATTTGGCATCTGTAGATTTTGAAACTAGAAAGGCACAGCAGTCACTAAAGACAAATCAAAATTTTACCAGTGAACCTTCTCATGTTGAAGTTTCATCCCTTGCCAGTACTCTGTGTAAATCCAGTGGAAGTGTTTTCTTTCCTCTTACAAATGTAGTTCCTTCTCTGCCTTCTCTGAATGTAACTCCCTGCTGTGGTGAAAGAGAACCATCCAGAAAAATTCACCTCTGCCAAGGCTCCTCTGAATCTCTTCCAGTTAGTTGCTTTATCTGCCTTTCCAGAACAATTTATGCAAAATTTCTGTTAGGTTGCTTATCATGTGATGTCAGTGAATGTACTGTTTGAAGTTTCCTTAACTTTTTTCCCGTAAACCAATTTGCCTACCCTGCTAACAGTAACCAATAAAAGCTTCATTTGAGAGTGCCGTGCATGTCCCTAGACACAGGTACATAGTACGTATAAACTTTAACACACATTCTAAGATAGATACAAGTACTCCATTTTACAAATGAGGAAACTCAAATTCATGGAAGCTAAGTAAATATGTTCAAATCTTACCACTTGTAGGTAGCAAGATAAGATTGAAAGTAGATCTGACTCCCACACCATGATCTTAATAACTATACACTACTGGCAAGGACATTACCTTTTTTACTTTTATTAATTGCTCTGGTGCCCAGAATCATTTCTAGCACATAGCAGGCACTCAGGAAATATTTACTGAATGAAAAGACAGTGAATGTTCAAACACTGTTTTATGAAGTTAGAATGATCTACAAATATTTACACATACACCAAAGTTTTGAGTCCTGGAATATCAAAGAATAGGAATGTGGCAACTATCAAATTCTGAGTGTATGTGCATACATATACACACACAATATAAAATGTAGTAGGTTAAGTCATCTCTGTAGCATTAGAACTTTAATAGCACTTATTGTAAAAACAACATATTCAGATATTTGTGTCTCTGACCTATCACAAGATTCCCATCACTTGGATCAGGGATGCGCAAATTAGTACCCACCTATAAGCCAAACTGGCTGCTGCCTGTTTTTATAAATAAAAGTTTTACTGGAACATAGTCTTGCCCATTTGTTTATGTATTGTCTATGGCTACTTTTGTGCCTCAAGGGCAGAGCTGAGTGGTTACAAAAGAGATGATGTGGCCAGCAAAACCTTAACTATTTACTCTAAGCTTGCCAACTCCTGACATAGATCGCTCTTGTTATATAACTTAGTTAACTATATTACTCTGCTCTATTTCAAGGATCTTCGTAATAGATTTGACATTCAGCCAGGTGATGCTCGTCTGTATATAAATGGACTTCATGTTGATAAGGATGCTTATGATCCTTTTAGGTAAGTATTGAATTATTGATACAAACTATGGTTTATATAAAGGTAAATATTATCCTGAATTTAGTACTTGTCAAAATGCAAATAACCACTTCAAAGGTAAAGCCAAATGCATGTTTTTCATTGTGCAAAACAACTCATTATTTTGATAAAATACTTCTAAGTGTCTTAGGATGTCACCTGGGAGAGACTTGGGAGACGTTTGTTCAGGTGAAAAAAATTAATGTTTCTGAATCTTAGACCTGTACTATCCCAGAGTCTTTTATTTATCATGGTGTTTGCCCATAAATTAAAGGGGCCAAACAGAGGAGAATTCAAACTGGATTTATTTTACTTTTAGAGAAAAACATAAAACTACCTTAAAAATTAATATTTAAAATAAGAGGAATTTAGTAAACACAATATCTTGGTTCAGAAATTCAGGTTTTATTCAGTTGAATATACTTTTATTGAACTTAAATGTTTATTTTATTTTTCTTAACAGTTTGGAGATACTTAGGAAAATACAGGAAAGTCTAAGAAGTAGAGTAGTTCAAATGGAACTTTTCTCTTTGTTTAGTTGAATCCTTGGACCTAGTATTGGGAAAATAACCCAAGATACACAGGATAAATCTGACACATAGGAAGAGTAGGGAAGTTGTTGGCTCCTGGCCTGCACTTCAGAGGAACAAGAATTACATCTGCACCAGGAACAGCAAAAACAGGTTCAAAGGAGGGAGTGAAATGGTAGGTAGATTTTGGAAAGTTTTCTGTGTCAGGATTTGGGGAGATTTTAGTAGCAAGAGCACTTTGCCCAGTAATTTAGAAAGGCTGTAGGTTATTCAAGAAATAGAGCTCCTCTGCCTGGTAATTAGTGATCTGTAGGATATATGATACAATTTTGTTCTTCATTGGTGTGATCACCAGTTGTCGTCACTACAGTGCCCTTAAAAAAGGAAAGGAAAATATGGGAGCATATTTATATCATCTAACGTTGTAAGCACAAAATAAAGAGGTTTTCAGAAAAAGATCAGAACATATAGAATAGAATTAGTATGAAGAGGTTGATGAATGGGAGAAAATGAGTAAGGAAAGAGGAGAGGAAGCAAAACGCCATATATTGCAAAAGTCGTATCCTGGATCTAGAGAGAGGTCCTGTGCAACTGGTACTTCCGAATTGTCTTTCTGGGGAAAAACCAGGGTGGGTAATTATTTTGCACTTCGTTCCTATCTTCCATTTCTCAATGCATTTTGGGGTTGAGGAGAAGTGATAACGTGCTCATGGCCCTGCCCTTCTCCCTCTGATCTTGGAGGTAGTGGGAGGAGCCAAAGCCTCCGTGGGTCCGATCAGCATTGGCTCCGTCTGGGGTGTGCCCAAGCCCAGCTCGCACTCCCAGGGAGGCCTAGGCAGGAGGAGGCTGTGGCAGTGACCAGAGAGAAAAGCAGGGAGGACAGAGTAAATTTGGCATCTTCAATATCTCCCTCAGAGCCATGCACACATCTTTGTCTCTAAGTTCACCTCGGCCCCAGACTTGACCAGACAGACACTGGAACAAAGTGGATATTACCCATTTTGACAGCCAACCTTTTCCTGCTGGAGGACTGTCACTACTGTCTACCTACCAGGAAGGAAGAAGTAAAGGTGTCTTGATTTCCCCACTTGTTTAGTTTTTTCTGTATTTTAATGACATAATCTGGCTCAGAATTCTTTCAGGTTCTTGATAAATATGTTTTCATAATGCAAGCAATATTAAAATTCAATATTACAAAATCAATTCAGTATTAAAATTCAGTGAACATCTGAGGGACTACTATGCTACGGAAACCATGCAACATTGGGGGTGCAGTGGTGGATGAAACAGTAACAAGTCTCACCTGAGTGAAATGGTATGTCTAATGGGTAACTGACATGAATCACATAACTACAGTTTGGTAAGGTTTATGAAAGGTAAAGCAGAGTGCTTTGGGAATTTAAAACTCCAAAGATTTAAACTGTTCTTCATGGAACATGGAGACAAGTAGATATCTGATTTCTTCAAGAAAGCAATATTCAAGCTAAGGCTTAAGGATGATTCAGGTGAAGTTGAGTGGAGTTTCTGCCAGCATGGCATATTTGAGAAAGTAAAGTCTAGTATGGCCAGACTGGAGTGAGGAGGAGCTGTGAGAAGCCAAGTTCACGCACGTAGGCAGCAGTCAGATTGTGTAGTCGGGTTTTGGATTTTGGCCTTTTATTTCAAGGGCAGGAGAAGCCAGTGATTCTAAGCATATCTAAAGATAGTGACTATTTAAAAGAGAAACATGGGAAACTATTTCACTTATTTATATATCCAGAGATAGAGGAATCAGTATGCAAAAGTCAATATTTGGGAAGAGCAAGGGAAAAGCTAATGCTTGCTGAGGGCAACTGTGTGCCCAGTAGTAAATTAATTTAATCCTAGTATCTATAAAGTGATTATTACTATTCTCTTTTTTATAGATGGGGAAACAAAGACACAGAGAGATCTCACACAAAGATAGGGATACAGTCAGCAAATTGAATCAGGGTTTGAAATCTCACACCCTTTCCCATATACCATGTAACTCTTATCTAGTTTTTCTCCTGATGGTTTCCGTGTCAACTAGGTTGAGATAACAAAGATAGTAGTTACAAAAGCAATGGGGAGTATTAAAATTCTATCACACAAAAAAGTGTATGATCAGTAAGCATCATAAAAATTTTGAAATAGAACATTGACAATGCAATCCAGAATTCATTTTACAAATGAGAAAATTTAGACTAAAAGGGTGAAGAACTTCAAGAAACCACACATGAAGTAGTGTTACAGCCCAGCTAAATTTTATTAGATTGGTGATTTATATATTTCAGCTAGTGTTCTTTTTATCACACTCATCTCCTGATACATTTGCAGGGTATAAAAATTCTGCTTTGGAAAACAGTGGTCGGAACCACCTGGGATACAGACATGCAGCACTTGAGTCATTCAGGCCAGCTGGAAAACTTTAAAAATAAAAACAAAAACCAGCTTTCAACAAACTTTGCCACAGTCAGTAAAGCCTTATCCTTACAGATACATCGAAGCGCTGCATTCCGGTAGCATTCACATCTCAGCTCTACTGGCCTCTAGCTGGCTGAGTACCTGGGCTGGAGCCCTCACCTCTCTGAGTTCAGCCGCATCATTTGGGACATCCTGAGGTGTTGTGAAACTCAGAGGAGCTCTGTTTGAAAAGCACTTGGCACTTACCTGGCATGCAGGATGAGCTTGATATATAGTATATATATATATATAGTATAAAGATAGTAATGGGCCATTATTTTTGTCAATAGCTATTTATTGCTGATGTTATTTTAGGAGTAATAATTTCTAACATGTTTAAGAGCTGTCAAATTATTATATATGTAACTAAAAATTTAAATATATATTCTAAACAGATGTGAACTTTCATGCTTTAATGGTGTTTTCTTTGCTCTAAAATTGTACATTTTAGGTCATATTTGATCTTACCTTGTTTTGGTAGTAGATTTATCAAAATAGCAACATAGTATATTTTCCCCTTCATTTAGCTTGCTCAGGGGTAAGCATATCCTCTCTTCTTTCATAGGAATATAATAAATATACCTTGTTTGATAGTGACTATTTAAAAGAGAAACATGGGAAACTATTTCACTTATTTATATATCCAGAGATAGAGGAATCAGTATGCAAAAGTCAATATTTGGGAAGAGCAAGGGAAAAGCTAATGCTTGCTGAGGGCAACTGTGTGCCCAGTAGTAAATTAATTTAATCCTAGTATCTATAAAGTGATTATTACTATTCTCTTTTTTATAGATGGGGAAACAAAGACACAGAGAGATCTCACACAAAGATAGGGATACAGTCAGCAAATCGAATCAGGGTTTGAAATCTCACACCCTTTCCCATATACCATGTAACTCTTATCTAGTTTTTCTCCTGATGGTTTCCGTGTCAACTAGGTTGAGATAACAAAGATAGTAGTTACAAAAGCAATGGGGAGTATTAAAATTCTATCACACAAAAAAGTGTATGATCAGTAAGCATCATAAAAATTTTGAAATAGAACATTGACAATGCAATCCAGAATTCATTTTACAAATGAGAAAATTTAGACTAAAAGGGTGAAGAACTTCAAGAAACCACACATGAAGTAGTGTTACAGCCCAGCTAAATTTTATTAGATTGGTGATTTATATATTTCAGCTAGTGTTCTTTTTATCACACTCATCTCCTGATACATTTGCAGGGTATAAAAATTCTGCTTTGGAAAACAGTGGTCGGAACCACCTGGGATACAGACATGCAGCACTTGAGTCATTCAGGCCAGCTGGAAAACTTTAAAAATAAAAACAAAAACCAGCTTTCAACAAACTTTGCCACAGTCAGTAAAGCCTTATCCTTACAGATACATCGAAGCGCTGCATTCCGGTAGCATTCACATCTCAGCTCCACTGGCCTCTAGCTGGCTGAGTACCTGGGCTGGAGCCCTCACCTCTCTGAGTTCAGCCGCATCATTTGGGACATCCTGAGGTGTTGTGAAACTCAGAGGAGCTCTGTTTGAAAAGCACTTGGCACTTACCTGGCATGCAGGATGAGCTTGATATATAGTATATATATATATATAGTATAAAGATAGTAATGGGCCATTATTTTTGTCAATAGCTATTTATTGCTGATGTTATTTTAGGAGTAATAATTTCTAACATGTTTAAGAGCTGTCAAATTATTATATATGTAACTAAAAATTTAAATATATATTCTAAACAGATGTGAACTTTCATGCTTTAATGGTGTTTTCTTTGCTCTAAAATTGTACATTTTACATCATATTTGATCTTACCTTGTTTTGGTAGTAGATTTATCAAAATAGCAACATAGTATATTTTCCCCTTCATTTAGCTTGCTCAGGGGTAAGCATATCCTCTCTTCTTTCATAGGAATATAATAAATATACCTTGTTGTCTTATGTTTTAAATAATAAGATTTTGTTACTACTTTAGGAAAAAACCTCAGTGGAAGGTTACCCTGGATTACTAATTAGAAACACTCCTTGTCTTATTTGTATTTTCCTGCTACTAATAAAAATAGCATTGAAACTTGTTTCTAATGCTTTGAGAAAGCTATAAATTTTAAAGGATTTTTTTAAATTATGGAAAATAAAGATAAAATTTATTTCTTTTCTTTAAACAAAGTATTTTGGACATGCTGAAACTAGAAGGACAAATTATGAATGGCTTTCGCAGTCTTGGGATCAACAGAGAAGATAGGAGCAAATTTTTAAAATTAAATCCACACGATTGGGACGATACCTATGCCTTAGATATTAGGCATCCTTCTATAGTGGTAAGTGTTCATGTAATTCCTTGTATTCAAACCATTAGTAGATTTAAGACTTAACACCAAATATTGGCAACCTTATAGTAAATACAAGCATTTCGGAAGAGGTTGTTGCAGGAGGACTCAGGAGAAAAGAAGTAGAGAGGCATCCCTCATTCTAGCCTTTTCCTTCCCCTTCCTCAGATTCTCTGTATTTGCTCACAAGAACACCCACTGCCTCTCACTCAGTATCCTTTTCATCTTTAAAGTTAATAACAAAATAAACAAGAACAACAAAATAACCACATGAACAACAGCAAAAACAAAACACCGAATTGATAAAAATCTGGGGAATGTAAGACCACCTTAATGTCATAAAAGTCTTGCCTGGACAATTTTCCGAGGCCTCCAAACATTCTGGTCTGTGCATTAAAGCCTGAGAGAGTTTTCTGAAATCTGATCGCAGCCTCCTCCCTTCCTTAAAGCACAGAACAGCCCTCCGCGTGGCCTACTTCTTCCTTTCATTTCTTAGACTGTGAAGTGTTCTCTTTGCTGTCCCTGTCTCGTGCTTGGACATCCAGCTGATTCCTACTCCATTCAAGTAACTCCTACTCTTTTTTCATATTTCAACTCCCCAACAATTCCTGAAAGAAGCTTTCCTTAGCTCTCCAGATTAAAGGAGTGTTTTCCATGTACACATACATCAGGGAGTCCCCAGGATCACCTTCAGGTTCAGGGACTTGCTGAAAGGACTCCCAGGGCCTAGAAGCTGTTCTACCTTGGTTTGGATTTATTAGAGTAAACGAACGAACACGAAACAACAGCCTCGGGAGACAGCGTCTGGGGTGAAATCCAGAGGCAGCCAGGTGCAAGCTTCCAAGAATCTGCTCCTAGTGGAGTTATACAGGATGTGCTTAACGTGAGGTGTGAAGCTATGTGCAAAGTGCTACCTACTAGAGAAACTTTCGTGAGCCTGAAATTTCAGAGTTTTAAAGGGTATATCATATATGCAAGTAAAATAAAAGGGTCTGTCATATGGCTAAGTGACTGATGTCAGTCACTGAACTTCATACCCTTGGAGGAAAAGCAGGTATTCATCATAAATCATATTATTTGTATGCACTCTCTGTATAGATTGCTCAGCATGCTGCAAGGCCCTACGCAAAAAGAAACCATCAGTCAGAACATTGTCAAGAACTCGATTCCAGGAAGCCAACCTAGAAAACCTGTGTCAGGAAAGCAGGTCCTTCTTGGGCGTGTGCAAGGAATAAGCAACCCAGGCCTGCTGAGTTAATCCTTTCACACACAAAGGTGTAATTTTTGATTATCCAGTGATGCTCTGATGTCTTTAGACTCTGCAAACTTTCCGAAAGTAGGAATTTCATCCATTTTTTTTCTGTCACCCTTGTATCCCTGGTTTTAGTAGGTACTCAATAAATACAAATATTCCTTGAATGAGTACATAAATATTAATCTCAAACCAATATAAAACATACTTTTTAACAATGACACTCTGGGAACATCCCAATTATGACATAATCAATATAAGTATGTCCACATTGTTATATAACATTTATAATAATAATAATAATACTCATATTAATGTAACCTTAAAAGTAGAACATGAGAACTGAAAAAATAAGACTATCATACGACATAGACATTGTAACTAAAACTAGCTAAGGAAAGGCATTATAATTAATAAGAGACTAGCAAAATGGTTTTGAAGTGACAGAAAACAAATCAAAAGCTTTTTTCCAAAAACAATTTGGAAGACAAAGATTTATTCATAATAATACAAAAATTTAAATACCTTGACAATATCTTAATAACTATTATACAATAAAATAATCCTAATAATTAATATTTAAAACTGTACTTTAACTGAGAAAATATAAAAGAAAAGTAAAATGATTCAGAGAGAGTGTTCATTGGCATAGCCTTTTAAAAAGTAACATTTGTAGTTACCTTACAATGTTCATACACATCGTTCTAGTAATTTCACCCAAAGACATGATCACCACTGCATATTTTTAAAACAAAATAGAAATGACTTAAGTATATAACAGGAATGTCATAAATTGTATATCCACACAATCTAGTATTATTCAGACATTAAAATTATGTTTATAAATGTTTTAGTAACCAGAAGCAATAGTATGTCTCATGTTAACTAAAAGATATAGACTTATATCATGAAAAGATAGAGAATCAGAAGGAAATATATCAAAATGTTAAGTTATTAATAGGTGATAGGGTTTAATAGATAGTTGGGTTTTTCTTTATGCTTTTCTGTAAATTTCAAATTTTTAACAATAGGTACATATGATCAGGGAAAATAATGTAACCTCTCTGAATATCTGACTGTTTCATACAAAATATAAAAATGTAAGGGATTGCCTCTGAAGTAGCTCAGTTTTTAGTTACTTTTGTCCTAGTAGAGCTGCCTTCCCACTTAGAAATGTAGTCCCACCATCTAAGAACCATGGAGTGATAGCAGCAACAAAGACCTGCCGCACTCCCTGAACATCAAAGACTTCAGACTCAGGAAAACCACCACAATTATAAATTAGTAACCACACATATTTTCTAGAACTAAGTGACTTGTTATGAATGTTTATTGTTACCCTTTTTTTTTTCACTACTTTTTAGACTGTGTTCTCTCACTGGCTAGATGTTACTTTACTTGGGTATCTAGAAGCTCAGTAATAGATGTCTTTTCTAAAAATGTTCTATTGGAAAAAGGAATAACCATGTTGGTAATCTTAATACTTTGTGCCATTTCTATTAAGCATTTATAGTTTTTTTAGCGTTTATAGGATGCTGGGAGTATGAATCACACTGAGAAAATTAGGAAAGTAATTTTCAAGGCTATTCTGGACATAAGAAATGGATCTGTAAAGAACTTTAGCAGCTCCATTGATTAAATAACACCCTGGTCCTCTGAGGTTAGTGGTAGACAGTCTCTTGTATTAGGAGGAGCTGACAGTGCTGTTCCCGCTGTGCCCACACCCCAAAGAGTCACATTTCCTTGGGCTGAAGTCTCCTATCCTCTTGCCCACTTCCTGGCCACCTTCAGGAGGCATTCTCTTCCAAGGAACTTCTACCTGAAAGTGTCACAAATAATTCTCTATTGAGGTAAAATATGCATAACATAAAATATGCTCTCAACAATTTTAAGTGTGTAAGTCAGTGGCATTAAGTACATTCACAATGTTGTACAACTACCACTTTTACCCATTTCCAGGACTTTTTCATCATTCCAAGCAGAAACTTTGCATACCCATTACACACTGCTCCTTGTGCCTTTTTCCCCCAATGGCCCAGGTAACGTCTTTTCTACTTTACCTGGTAAAGCCTCTGTGAATTTGCCTATTCTAAGTATTTCATGTAAGTGGAGTCACACAATATGTGTCCCTTCATGCCTGGCTTATTTCACTAGGCATAATGTTTTCGGACTTCATCCATGTTGTAGAAGGTGTCAGAATTTTATTTGTGAAAGCTAAATAACAGTTGAATTTTTTTCAAAATGTCTTTTTTGTATACTATTAAGGGAAGCTTCATGTCTCAGTTAAATGCTTTTATTTTCCACTTGGGAAGAGCCTGCACTGAGTAGAAAATTATTTCTGAGGTTTTATTTTATAGATACCTTTAAAAAAAATTAACTGGCACAAAATGCAGAGCTCTGAGATCTCAGAACTCTTTTCACCTTGTTCTGTTAAAGCAGCAAAATTAATTCACACACAAGCTTTATATTTGTGTCATAGCATTTGCTACCACCCACTATATGTGTGTATTTGTTATTATCTTCTTCCAGTGGAATGTAAGTTCCACAAAAAGCAGGACTTTGTTAAATGTCCTCCACATACCCCAGGTCCTATCATATAGCAAGTCCTCAGAAAACCTGTTGAGTACCTTCCCATCAAAACTGTTACCCATTAAAGAAAGCCATACTTTGCTTTTAATCCTGTCCCCCCACTCTGGATCTGTCTCCCCATTTCATTTTTGTCTTAAAGAGAAAGCTGAGTCACCGAGTTACATCACTTCTGACCTCTGTTTATACCCTCCCCAAACAAACCTTAGCAGCATATTTCTTAAAAATTGCTGATTGACAGTTAAGTAAGAACTCAAGAGGGTCATTGAGTATTCTCCCATCCCTGGTTTATCGTTCGAGGTTTCTCTCTCAGACATCAGGAGTCACAATTTAAATTTATCTAGGCTAGTTGTACCCTTTTTCCATGCTTGCTACAATTCCTCAGGTATTGCTAGCATTTTGTTAGACAACAATACAAACAAACATAGAATTGTATGTTTGACTACTTTGGATTGTGATTCCTTTTCAAGCAAGACCACCTACAGAATTCCCTGAAACCGGGACAAGATGGTTTGATCGGGTGCCTCCAGCTGCTACTCTTTTCTATCCTGTGGTATTGAGATGTAGCCACATTCCTGGGGTGCTTCTGATCATTTTCTTTCATTTCCTCCTCTTCAGTGTTCCCAAGTCACCCTAGCCATTTGTCCTTATATAAAAACAATTCTAATTATTTTTCATTGTCACCAAGATAACAGTGGATGGTTTTTAAAAAGCACCAGTAGACACAGGCAGAGGATATGAGTTCTTTATCCAAGTTAAGACTTTAGCTTGCTATCCAAGCCATGAAGGCAAGTTTCTCTTCTAAATTCAGTTCCACTAATCTGCATCTTACCCTTAGGCCAGTACCACCCTGTTTGATTACCATAGTTTTATAGCAAGTTTCAAAATGGGAAATTGTGAGTCTTCGAACTTCCTTCTTTTTCAGGATTGCCTTAGCAATCCTGGGACCCTTGCCTTTCATTATGAATTATAAGATCAGCTTCTTCATTTCTGGAAAAAGGGGAGTTGGAATTTTTATTGAGATTTAATTGAATCTGTAGGTCAGTTTAAGGAATATTGCTGTTTAAAAATGTTAAGTCTTCTGATCCATGAACATGGGATGTCTTCCCATTTTTTAGGTCTTTAATTCTTTCAGCAATGTTTTGTAGTTTTCAGTGTACAAGTCTTATACTTGTCAAGTTTATCTCTTAAGTATTTTAGGATTTCTCTGTGCCTCTTCATTTTCTGTTGAAAGCTAGACGTTTTGAATATTGTAATATGGTGCTCTGGACAGATTTCAGCGCCCCAAAGTCTGCTAATGTTGCTGTTTGCTGCTCTTTTTGTTACTTGTCTAGTGAGTTTTCTGAACTAATTCTCTTTATTATTTTTCATGTGTGGCCATAGAAGTCTTTGTTATGTTGGCATAGTCATCTACTAAATATTGGACAGAGATTTACTTAAATGCTTGGAACCAAAAAACTCCCGTTCTTTGCAGAGGGACTCTGGGTGTATGGCCAGTTGAGGGGGGGAATCAGGACATGCTGGACACTCAGCCAGGCCTTAACCTTCATCTCGCTTGCATAGAGCATGGGAGTCAACCAGAGGTGAGAACTGAGGGCCTTCTCAGGATTTTTCCTGAGCATCTGCATATCTCTGGGTGTGTACATGGCCTTTTAGATTCCTAGGAATATGTCAGAACTTCTCAAAGCCCTATTTCCCAAAACTTCTCATTCCTCTCCCTTTCCTTACAGGTTTTTGCTTACTCTGTTGTTTGTCCCAACTGTTTTTATTGCCTCTGGCAGGACTGACTAAAACATTTGCCTGTAAATGTTTTCCACAATTGAGGCAGCTGCTTTGACACCAGGCAAGTTGTGAATTAGTCAGGATAAAGATAAACCTTTTCAGTGAGTTTTCTGGGGAGTCACAAGGCAGTTCAAACAAAAAAATTATAACGCTTTCAAATGAGGGCCATTCTACACCCTCCAATGTTAATATTGGAATGTGAGCTGTCATTTTTAAGGTTACCAATAAGCTTGGGAGCAGGAAATGGGACTAGGGAAATTTATGACAGCACATATGTTACTGTTTTTGCTGAGATTCAGCCATTTTCATTGAACAAATTTTCAGCACTCCTGGGTTGCTGAATGCTTTTGGTTAGTTTTCATAGTTCTTAAAATGTTGATTCCCATAGATTTTCCATTTTTTGTTCCTTTTATGTAAGGGCATAGTTTTGGAATTCCTTACTCAAAAAAATTGTAGTTGATGTCACTCATAAAGAAAACCCAAAAGAAATGAATTATATTATTTTTTAAGTTCTTTGCTTCTCTCAGAAAGAGAGACCCATCTTATATTCATTTGTTGGCCTGTATAGGTCCTTGGACATTGAAGATATTGTCTTATAGGTTCTGATTTATAGATGACATCTTGTATTCAGTATCTTTTATTCAATTTCTTGGCAGCCTAGTAGACATAAAGGCCGGAGTTAACAACCATCAGAACTATGGACGTAGGTCAGTGCCGGTTCTGCATGCAGCTGTCTGAGGCCACTCTTCCAGCTACTGTTGCTGCTTCTGTGTATTGACGTGATAGTAAAGAAATAGGCAGGTCAGTCTTTCTGAGCCTATTCAGAGTGATTTTCAGTGTTGTCTCAGTAATTCTCCCAAATGGATCAGTATGTCACCACAGTTAGTTTAACCAACACCCATGCTGTAATTTAAGCCACTGCTATAGTTTTCTAACCAGTATTTGTGATAAGCATCACCTAGAGTGCTTGCTTTCAGTGGAGATTCCCAGGGCCGATCTTGAGATTCTGATTTAGAAGGTCTGAAGTGGGGCCAAGGGATCTGCATTTTAAATAAACACCTCCAGCTGTTTTGATCCTCATTAAAAGTGATTCCACCTCCACCCATTAGTCAAGTTCAGTCGGACTGATACAGAAAGCATAAGCCAGTTTCTCACATAAAATAAGAAATACAGCTGACCACCAACAGCATCCCATATTCACATCCTCCACTTGGTGCCTTCCTTTCGGGCTTAGGATTCCCGTAGAACAGTTAACTAATTTAGGCACTGCTGACTGAGCGGGAGTGCCAGTTCACAGGGATTCCTCACATACAGTGAGGATCTTTAGCATTGTTCCCATTGCCTTTATATCTTGACAAGAATTACCTCAGAAACATAAACCAGATACGCTACTACTGACTTTTCCAGGGAGACCAAAATTCTGTCTCGGTATGCCTGGGACAAGTTAGTAGAGATAAAGCATTTAATCCCAGATTCCCATCATACTTGTTAATCACTAAAGTAGAAATTGTTGCAGTAGTCAGCTGTTCTCTCTCCTCAGGTGCCTTATGGACAGCTTAAGTGTGTCTAAAACTAAGTTAATTCCCTCTCTGCTTTCTTAATGCTGTTTCCTGGAAAAGTTGACTTCTCATAGAGCCTAATAGCTTAGTGTCGATACAGTGTTCCTTTCTGAAAGCCCTGAATTACCCAAGATTCCTCCCTCTTGCTCATCCCTCTTTGTGAGTGTCCCTTAATTCTGTCTTCTTTCTAATGCCCTTCCTCTGACTTAGTCAAGCCCTCCAGGCACTCCTGTCTAGATGATCTCTCTCCTCTCCCCTCTAGGATTTTCAGCTGCACGTCTTAGACTTTTTGCCTATGCTGCTCGTCTCTCTTACACTTAATGATTTTGTGTTAGTTTTTCTCTGTATATTTTAGTTAATACACATTCTGTTTACAGGTCATCAGTTTAATTACATCCAATCTGCAATTAAACCCACCTAATAAGTTCTTAACAGTTCTTACTTACAGACACTGTTTCTAAATTCTAGAATATCCCCTTGATTCATTTGTTAATAGATTTTAGTTCTCTGTTAAAAAAATTTCCATCTTTCCCTCTGTTTTTCTTCTTTTACAAGAAATAGGTTAATGCAGTTATTTTAAAGTCCTTTCATGAATCCCTTTCTGTTGTCTGTTTTTTCTCTTGTGTTTTGATATTTGATCCTTCCCTTTTTGCATGAGTGTTTGATAAGAGCCATACATTGCCAATGAAAAGGTATGGAAGCAAAGAGTGGTAAGGTTTGCTTTGACAATTCAAGTACCATATGCTTACCTGATTCTGATGAGACTTGTTTCTAGGCTGTTGTGAGAGTTCTTCTATTTTGTGTCTTACTCCAAGGGTCTGGCCCTACCAGGTCTCCAATGAAAGCACAGTATTTAGCAAAGTCCTTCCACCTTGAACTGCAGCCTCAGTCTCCTCAGTACTACGTGTGGCTGCAGCTTCAGCCTCCCAGTTTCTGTTTTCTGCTGACTTGGCAGGAATTGGGAGAAGTGTTTCCATCTGTATGTGCAGGTTCATATGCAGTAAATGAGAAGAATGTATATGGAAATGCTTTGGTTTCTTGCATTTTCTTCCTCTCCTGCGTCTGCCTGCCTCAAATCCCACCGGTTTGGGAGCTCTAACTTTGACTTCTATCTTTCTAGCCCAGTATGACTGTTAACTTTCTGTGTGAATTCTGTTTCTCCCACCTGCAGTTTGGAAAATGCTTCCAGGTACAGAGTAGGAGGTGAATGTGGGCTTGCTCGTCATGCCTCCAGCTTTCAGGGATTGTAACTCCTCAACTCGTAACTGTTGGTTGACCCCTACCTCCTACCTCTACACAAGGGTTCATATTCTTTCTCCAGTTTTCTTCATTGTTTCAGACAGGAGGATTACTCTAATACAGAGTATTTCGTCTTGATTAGAACTGGATGTCCAAGGTGTTGGTTTTATAATTTAACTTTTATAAGGCATTTTATTTGCCTTATGTTCAAGTCTTTAAATTTCTGAGGGCAGGTGGAGGACCTCATTGCCTTCTATACTGCTGATAATTAAGATAGATGCTTCTCTCTCTTAAGTGGTCTATGGAGAATAATTTTTATACAATATTTTTAATATGAGTAAACAGGCATGAGTAAAAGGAATCAATTGTTTTTGGGGGAAAGCTTAATGTAAAAGTCATAGTAATAAAAAATTGTTATATATATAGTGTGTTCCTTGATTTAAAGAATATTCAACTGTCTCCTGTATTTAATCAGAAATATAGAAAATCCTGAATATATTTTCACTTGTCATTTGATAGAGTGAAATCTGGCCTTGAAATAATTTAAGTATTATCTTGAGATATCTTTCACAGATTTCTGGATTTTTTTTTCTAGTGGATTAATGACCTAGAAAGGGACAATTTATATGTTACATGGCCTGCAAGTTGCCAAGAACTTCTGAAACCAGTATTGCCTGGAAATATACCTTCCATAAGGCGTAATTTTCATAATTTGGTGAGTTTTGTATTTTGACATTTTGAATACACCTTTCATAAAGATATTAGCATTCTTTTTGGGTTACCCTGCTCTATGTAAATAGGCATTTGAGTAATAAGGAAGGACATAATTGCCAAATGGAACAAACTTGAGGTGGCATAGCTAACTAGGTATCAAAAGCTAGCAATGTCACATAATCTGCTTCTTGTATTTTAGTCCTCCAAGTACTTTTCTATTACTGATATTAGTTGATGATTACTTTTATATTTTCTAAGAGTAATTTTTGAGTGAACTTTTCTTCCATCTATATTATAAAGAACTAGTGATTGAAGTTTAGTGCATTTCAGGGAAAAATACATAAATACTACTTTATCATCTATATATGTATGTTCATTATTACAACATTAAACAACCTTATAGAACTTTCAAATGTAGAGAAAACACCTAGGGCTTTATTTTTATTCTCTTAAGAAGTGAATATCTTATTTCCTATAGCATCCTAGAGTGAGCAGTTATGCTAATGCCTTTTTTTTTGGTCAAAATTCAATTTCTATTTACTTTTTTAAAAAATTTATCACAGAAAATCCGGTGAGCATTTAGAATAAGGTATTTCACTTCTCATAAAAAAATATTTACTTTGTACCATGATTTAAAAAAAGGAAGAGTCATCTGCTGAATTCCATGTATTGTTCTATTTGGATGTGTAGCTTTTGGAAATCTTTCACAGACTGTTCTTATATATGTTCCTCAAAATTCTTTAGAATTGCTAGAAATTTCTAAAAAAAACATTATACTTTGAATGTCATGCTTTTAGCCACAGAAATTAGACTGAACTTGAATTTCATTAAATCTAAGGTGTTAAAATGAAATAGTAAATATAGACTATCTTCTTTCTTTTTTTAGGTTTTGTTTATTGATCCAGCTCAAGAATATACCTTGGATTTTATAGAACTTGCTGGGCTTTTCTATTCTCATCGGATTCCTCTTAGGTAACTGTCAATATAAAACATTAAACCATCAGCTGAAGGAAATCTAACGTTGTTCATGTTATATTATTGAGTGTTAATGTGGAAGTGAAAGCACTGGCTTCTCTTGTGCTGGCACAACATGGTTGTCTGTTGTGAAGTATCCCGGACCTTTATGATGGACTCAAAGCTGCTTGCTAATCTTTGTTTACCAAGACACCTGAAATATATAGACAAAAAATAGCAAAACGGCACAACTTAATCCAACCATATCAATAACTATATTGATCATCCTGGGAGAATAATCTCATTGCTCTGGATAAAGATGGATCTATTTCCCAGTGGTTATATTAAGAGTACACTTTCCCTTTTTTTCCCCTGTGGAAAAACATGGTGATTTAATAATGTCACCACCAGAGAGAGTTTGACATTTTGGAGGAAGGCAGTAGATTTGCAGACTTGGGTGAATAGACATTACAAAGCAAATGTTTTCAAGGAATATCCCTTTCCTCAATCTAACTGATTCCCTCCATTGAGATGTTAACGTCTAATAATATTTTAAAGCCATGGATTGTTGAAGTTCAGTTGTGGCATTCATTATTCATCTTCTTTTTCCAGAATTGGTTTTGTGTTCATCCTTAACTCAGATGATGAAGTGGATGGAGCCCACGATGCTGGAGTTGCCCTTTGGCGAGCTTTCAACTATATTGTAGAAGAAAATGATGTGTCACAAGCATTTGTTTCCATAGTACATGTGAGTTTATGCACTAAAAATAATTTCTTTAGAATGTGTAGTGGGGCTTTTTGCATTGATATAATTATTCATTTTAACATTTTGAAAGTTTATAAAAACTATCATGGACATTAATACAGATGATGAAAATGATTCTTGCAACTCCCAAATGAAGTACATATGTCCTCACTTTATAAATTAGGCAACTGAAGTTCTGCCAAAATATATAAATTTACATAGGTTTACCCAGCCAATAAAAGAATTTATGTTTCACATATAAGTGTAGAGGGAAATATATTTATAGAAAATGATTAGTCAGGGAAAAATTCTTGAACTAGATCTTGAATAAAATCATGAATAGGAAAGATTATTGCAAAGTTAAATATTCTAAAAGACAAAGTATATAGACTTCCTAGAGAGTTTCAAAGGAGAAGATCACTTCATGACAGCAAATGGGTGTGGGAATGATAAGACTGACAGTGAGTCTGACATCGATTGTATAAGAAAAGTCAGATATTGGTAAGAACCTGATGAAGGAAGAACAAGAGATAAGAAGGCTATCATATTTGAGGTTTTAAAACTATTATGGTCCATCACAGAAATATAAATGTATTAAAGAGCTATATTGTCATTAAAAAAGGTTATAGTTTAAAAAAATAATGGCTATTCATTTTTAAATTCATTGGTCTTTAGCTTGTCAACCATTATTATAATAAGGAATGGTTGCTCTTCAAACTGAGAATGAAATTACCAAAGCATTGTAAATTCCGTACCCCATTTCTGTAGCTCCAGGAAAACCACTGAACACGTCATTAATTCATTCTCCTGGAGGCTAGAAACTACCTATACTTTGGTGACTTGTGGATACATTTGGTTCTGTAAAATAGTGCCACAGAATACGTGTCAGTATTTTTGTCTCAGTCTGTTAGTTTTACCAACTCACTGGTGTAAGAGTTTGTCAGGGACTTGACTAAATTGACTTGTATTCTCTAAAAGTCCAACTACCTTCTTGTAAAAGTATTAGCATGATATTCAAAACTAAGAAACTTGAAGACATTCTAAAATTACCTTTACCTAAGTTAACTTAATTACCTCTATTGATTCTTTATCCTGTAAGCATTTTGTATCAGACATTAATTTGCATGTGAAGGTGTATTTCTCAATCACTTGCCTTTTAAGTCATCTACTTTGCTGTTTAGCACAATACTATAATGTCTTGGAACACAAAATTATAATTGAAACCATATAATTTAATACAAAGGATAAAAGTAAGTATTAAATATGTGCTATAGCCAATAAGTTGTACTAAACAATCAGAAGGAAGAATAAATGAGGAAGGAATATGTAGAGAAGGCATATTAGAATCTACTGGAGTTTGAAATATGAGAATGTTGGTAGTTATTCAAACTGTGTGCTTGTGACCCAGAGAGTTTTGTATACCACAGAGAAGTAAAATTTCATTAAGCTTACATTCTATCAGGAATGCATTGTGTCTGTTAGATGATTAACTTCACTGAGAATAATGTGAGCAAAATCTGGTCTTTTAGTAAAAGACATGAATTATAAAATCTGTTCTGTAATATTTCATTACTTTCAATGAGCAAATTATTTTAAATAATTTAAAGTTAGAGTGTCAGGAGAGGAGAGGAATATAGAAGGCCAAAGTTATAATAAAAATATATGAAAATTATTGAAGTGTGGTAGAGAATTACGGTAAATACAGTATTTGTAGTGAAACAATCTGCCTTTATATCTCAGCTTTCCTGCAGCATAGCTATACAAACTTATAATTAATTTAATCTTGTCTCCATACTTGCAAACTTAAGATTAAAAAGAAGTGTATGTTATAGTCTTAATATTTGATGAATGCATGTTTGAGAATGTAAAAGCACTTTAAGACTTTAACTTTTGGCCAAGATGGAATAACTGGCAAAAGATTAGCCATCCCACAATAAACAGTTATAAAACTGGACAAAATACATGAAATTAGTCTATTTTCAGACATTCAACAAGACAAAACAAGAGCTATGATCCTTGCAAAAGGTGATATAAAAATATTCACAGATAAAGACTCAGAGAATTCCTTGCTGCTTTAGAAGAAATCTACAGGAAACCCTTTAGGCTGAAAGGAAATGACAACAGATGATAAATCTACAGGAAGAAATGAAATGGTAGCAGTAAATGGAAGTAAATACTAAATATAGAAGGCTGTGTATTTTCTCTTCTTTAAATTATACAAGGTAAAATAAAACAAATTCTAACACAGATATCATACATGTGATAATTGTACAAAGGAATAGAGGATGAAATGGATCTATTTTGGAACTTAAATTCTATATTTTGTCAATTTTAAGTTAAGATTAATAGGAAGTACAGTGTGGTAAATTCTGATATATATTGTAATTCCTAGAGTAACCACAAAGACATAAATTTAAAAACTAGTTAAAAATCCAAAGAAGAATTGGTATCTGCACTACAAATAGCTATGAAGCACAGAAGAAAACAGTAAAAGAAGCAACAGTGAACAAAAGACACATGAAATATATAGAAAACAAATAGCAAAATGACATAAGTTAATCTAACCATATTAATAAATATCTTAAGTATGAATTAATTAAACCTAAGCTTTTTAGAAGAATGCACATAAATACATGAAAAATTATATGCAAGGCAAATATTCAACAATCTGGAAGAAATGGATAAATTCCTAGAAACACACAACCCAACAAGACTGAATCATGAAGAAACATAATCTGAACAGACTAAAAGCTAGTAAGGAGATTGACTTAGTAATCAGACGCCTCTGAACAAAGATCCAACAGCCTTTCAGGACCAGGTAGCTTTACTGGTGAACTACCAAATTTTACAGAAAATTTTTCCAGAAAAATAAAAGAGGAGGGAATGCTTCAAACTCATTTTACAAGACCAGCATTACCCTGATACCAAAGTCAGACAAGGACACTACAAAAATGAAAATTATAGGCCAATATCCCTGAAGAACATAGATGCAAAAATTCTCAATTAAAATTAACAATTAACAAACTGAATTCAACAGTGCATTATAAAGATCATACACCATGACACCATGATCAAGTGGGTTTACTTCTGGGATTCAAGGTGGTTCAACATACACAAATCAGTAAATGTGATACATCACATTAACAAAATGAAGGATAAAATCATGATCATATCAGTAGATGGAGAAATATCATTTGACAAAGTTCAACACCCTTTCAGAATAAAAACTCTTAACAAATTGGGTATAGAAGGAATGTACATCAACATAGTAAAAGCCAAACCACAGCTAATAAATATCACTGTCAACAGTGGAAAGCTGAATACTGTTCCTCTAAGATCAGGAACAAGGCAAGGATGTCACTCTTACCACTGTTACTCAACATAGTATGTGAAGTCCTAGCCAGATAATTAGGCAAGAACAATAAATAAAAAGCATCCATATTGGAAAGGAAAAAGTAAAACTATCTGTTTGCACATGGCATGATTTCATCCATAGAAAACCCCAAAGACTCCACCAAAATCTCTTAGAACTAATAAGTGAATTCCATAAGGTTGCAAGGTACAAAAATTGGTTGCATTTCTGTACACCAACAAAGAACTATCATAAAAATAAGTAAAGAACCCCATGTACAATAGTATCAAAAAAGAATAAAATATTTAGGAATAAATTTAACCTAGGAGATGAAATGCCTTTTCACTGAAAATTATAAATAAATGTTGAAAAAATTGAAGGAGACACAAATAAATGGAAAAATATTCTGTGTTCATCAATTAGAGAAATAATATTGTTAAGTTGTCCATACTACCCAAAGCAATCTACACATTCAATGCAAATTCTATTAAAATTCCAGGGAGGGTCTTTTTTCACAGAAATAGAAAAAGAAATTCTGAAATTCATATGGAACCACAGAAGATGCCAAAGAGATAACAGAAGAACAAAGAAGAAGCATCGTATTCTGGATTTCAATCTATATTTCAAAGCTGTAGTAATCAAAACACTATGGTACTGGTATAAAACATACACATAGATCAGTGGGACAGAATCAGGAACCCAGAAATAAACCCATGTGTATAGAATCAATCACTTTTCACCAAAGGAACCAAGAATGTACAATGGGAAAAGGATAGTTTCTTCTATAAATTGTGTTGAGACAACATCTACATGCAAAATAATGAAACTGCACTCCTGTCTTTTACTCTGCACAAAAATCACCTCAAAATGGATATAAGAATTGAGCAGAAGACTTGAAACCATAAAAGAAGAAATCATTTTCTGAAAGAAAACATAGGGGGCGAGCTCCTTGACAGTGATCTTGGCAATGATTTTTTTGATTTGGCAACAGATTTAAAGACAGCAAAGCAAAAATAAACAGTGGATCTCTATCAAATTAAAGTGCTTCTACCCAGCAAAGGAAACCAGCAAAATGAAGTGGCAACCTACTAATGGGAGGAAATATTTGCAAACCGTGTACATACCCAATAAGGAATTAATATTCAAAATATACAAGGAATTCATACAACTCAAGAGCAATAAAAGCAGATAACTCAAATGGGCAAAGAACCTGGATGGAAATTTTTCCAAAAAAGACACGCAGATGGCTAACATGTATGTGAAAAAATACTCAATGTGATTAGTTATCAGGGAAATGCAAATCAAAACCACAATGAGATATCACCTCAGTTCTGTTAGGGTGTCTGTTATCAAATGAGAGATAATAAATGCTGGCATGGATTTGGAATAAAAAGAACCCTTATATGTTCTTGGTGTGAATGTAATGGGTATAGCCACTGTGGAAAGCAATCTGAAGGTTCCTCAAGAAATTAAAAATAAGACTACAGTATGAACCAGGAATCCTACTCTTGGCTGTATGTCCAAAGGAAACAAAATCAGTATCTCAAAGAAGTATCTGTCCTCCCATCTTCTCTGCAACATTATTCACAATAGTCAAGGTAAGGAAACAACCTAAGTGTCCATCTATGAGTGAATAGATAAAAAAGATGTGATGTATATAAACATCAGACTATTATTCAGTCATAAAAAAAAAGGGAAATCTTTCTGTTTGGGACAAGTGGATGAACCTGGGGGGCATTATACTAAGTGAGATATAACATATGGAGTCTAAAGCTGAACTCTTAGAAACAGAGTAGAAAAGTGGTTGCCAGGGACTGAGGGCTGGGGAAGTGAAGAGATTTTAAGTAAAGGGTACAAACTTTGAGTTATATGAGGAATATGTTCTGGTGATCTAAAGTACAGCATGACTATAGCTGATAATACTGTACTGTATAAGTGAAATTTTCTAAGAATGTGGAACTTCAGAGTTCTCACCAAAAAAGAAAAAGAAAGAAAAACACAAGGTGTGTTATGGATGTGTTAAACAAATAACTCAAAGGTCAGAATCTCTTTGCACTGTATGTGTATATATAGTTTATCAAGCCATCATATTGTACACTTTAAATATATTGCTGTTTTATTTTTCAATTATAATAAAACTGAAGAAACACAATAGAAAAATAAATAAAATTTGTGTGGAAGAGTAAAGGCCCAAAATTGCTCAGAAACTCTTGGGGACTTACCAACACCAGGTAATAAGATGTATGTAGTTATATTAAGACTGTGTATGTTTGGCACAGGGGAAAGATATTTAGACCAAGGGAAGATACAGGGCCTCCTAGCCTGAAGAGGCCTTGCAGTAAGTGAGAGTAGACTTTCAACAAGTCCACTTGATGCTTGTACCAGTACAAACAGGTAAGGCTTCACACCTTATGTAAAAATCATTTCAGTTAGCTTAAAAGCATAGTGGGGAAAAGCATTAAAACTTTTAGAAGAAATTACATCCCCAAAGGAGGTAAGGGTTTCCTGGATAAGTTTTAAAAAGCCATGAGTCTGAAGGAAAATACTGACAAATTTAGCTATATTATAAATGAAAAATCAATGTTCATCTACGGATATCTTAAGGAAGTGAGGGGAAGTAAGTGCCAAGGAAAGGAAGTATTTAGAATACATACAATCAGTAAATCAATAGATTCACATCCCATGATACAAGTATTTCCCACACATCAAAAAGAAAAATACAAACAACCTGAGAGAAGAAATACATAAAAGAGATTTTTAAAAATATAAGAGGATACATTAATGGCAAATAAAAATTTAATGAAGTTATGGAGGTAAATAAATATTTATTACAATTAGTGGTAAACAAGATAATTATCTCATATCAGAAAATGCAAATAAATACTACCCTGAGATATGATTTACACCATGTACTTTGGCAATAATTAAGAAAGCTGGCAATATCATATGTTAATGAGAATGTGGAGCACTGGGAATGCCTTTACACTGCTACACTGCCTGTAGGAATATGAACTGGCACAACCACATTGAGAAACAATCTGGTAGCAAAATTTGAAGTTAAATTTGCCTATTATCCAGATACACCCAGCACCACCACGAACAAGAGAAACTCTTCTATCTGTGCTGTAGGGGAGACTTCCAAGCAGAATCATCCACAGTAGTTACAGTGGAAATGACCCGTATATATATATATCATATATATATGTATATATATATCAGTAGTAAAACAGATGGGTAAAATTTTGGTCTGTTTGCATAATGGAATATGATATGCAAGGGCATGTCTGTGTTAGAAGCATAATGAAGTTACAGAAGGCTAACATACTACCATAGACTTTTTAAAGCTCAAGCAAATGAAACTAAATATTGTAGTACATGGGAATACATTCAGATAAAAGTCCAAAACATTAAAGGTAAGGGAGTGATAAACACAGGAGGATGCTTGCTCTGGGGACAGAGGGAGGTGGGTTGGAGGGAAGTTGCGCTTCACCGGTGCTGGTGATGCCGGTTTGCCATGTTGCAGGGTCTGTTCATGTGGACCATTCATTTTATTATCTGTGCCTCACAACATAATATGTTATATGCATTCATTTTTGCTTACCAAGTTCCGTAACAGTTTTTAAAATTAAATGGATCAGAAGATTTAATCAGTATTCATGTAAGCTCATTCAAGACATTGTGGCTACCTTATATACTGTAGGAATATCTAATATCTTTAAGTGACTGATTAGTAAAATGACCAATCTCAGTGTCTTTTTATATATAACTTGTGCTGTATTCAGAAATCTCATTTTGCTAATCCCTGTTAATGTTTTATGGAAGGCTGACCTTTTTTTTTTTTTTTGAGTTGCTAAAATTCACATTGTGTTCTGTTTTAATATGAGGAGAGAACTTGCCCATAAACTGTAATCTAATCACAGACCTGCACCACTTCTTAAAGGAATAGGTTGCAAAGTTTATACTGATAAAAGGAAAACAAAGATGAATGCTAATTGCTTACCCTGAGGAATAATGTGGAGAATCTGTCGCCATGATATGAGGATCATCTCTGGCAATAAGGATTTACGTGAATCAGAACTAAAAGTAATAATTCTTACAATTGATGTATGAAAATGCCATCTAATGGTGTTGGTACTTACGAGTCCCTTCTTGTAAGGTTGTTTCCCCAGGAAGTCTTCCTACGAGCTCGGTGTTCATATTGGTGCTTCACCTGAGTCATCTGCTCAGAGATGCCTTCTCTTCTGATGCAGGGCTGTTCCCCCATGCCCAGAAAGTCCCTGGGTCACACATAGTAGAGGGTCTGTAAAGAAGGGAGATGTGAGACAAAAAGTAATGGAGTAACACCTTACATTGTGCATGTGTGTTCAACACATTTCACACTGGGAGAACAAAGGTACAGAGAAACTCAGGCAAAGTATTTACTGAAGAAAAATCAGAAATGAAAATACAGCTTTCTGAAATCAGTCACTTTAAACATCCTACATACCTTTTTAAATAAAGGCAATCATTATTAAGAATCACAGTACCGAGTTGGAACAAAATAGACGGTAACATCTAAGTTTGTTGTGGTGGTTTTGGAAACTATAGAATATTCCACAAAAGCATTTTTATTTGAAGATACACTGTATGGTTAAAATGCTTTGTGTGGAGGGCATTTGTGTGTATATAGTATGCTTAGAACTTAAAAAAAAATAAAACTTGTTTTTTGTGAATATTATCTGCATGCTAAAGGAAAGAAAACTAATTGCTATAAGAAATTAACTTTAATATCACTGTTTCTGCAGATGTACCAAAAAGTGAAGAATCAGAATATTCTCACTGTGGACAATGTGAAGAGAGTTCTCCAAAATGAATTTCCTCATGCTGATATCAGGAATATTTTGGGAATTCATTCTCTATATGATTATGAAAGAAAGGTAAGTTAGAATGTAAAATTTCAAAAATATAATCCAAGAAATTCATTATGGTCTCATGAATAAATTATCTCAATATAGTTAACTCATGATTTTGATGCAGACCCTCAGAAAGAAGAATCTTAGACTTTGGATGGCATGACTTTAACACAGTATTTAAGTTGCCACTATCAACTTTTTTTAAAAAGTATGAAAAAAGATAATTCTCAGGACTTACGGGATAGAAAATCTGAATATAGACTTTTGAAGGATGTATTCTGTGCTTTCTTAGGAAGAAATGAAAAGCTGGCTTTTTAGATAAATGTTAGAACAAGAACCAAACTTAGGAAAATGTAACATCATTTGGGTTGAATTTCTAATGCTCATACAGATCTCAAATTTCCTAAATGGAAATCTGTCGGTATTTTATAAGAGTTTTTTGAAAGCAGATCTGACCTGTCACTCTCATTTGTAATATCCCTCCACAGCAAAGTTTACAATCACTTGCATTGAAAAGGTCCTCCGAATTTGGTCCCTATGAAATTCTAATTTAGTCTCATTTCTCATTCTTTCCCTTGCTCTTTCTGTTCTGGTAACATTGACATTATTTCTGGTCCTTGAATGAGTCACCTCCTTCTCATTGGAGGGACTTCACAGACTTGCTCTCAGTGCTTATGGATGCCCCCTCCTTTTTCTTATAGCTTGTGTTTATTATCATTAGCTTTTGACTGTAATGGTACCTTGTGGAAAAAGAAACATTTGGGAAAACTGGGAAGCTTTTTCTAGCCTTCTAAATGAGATTAAGTTGTTCATGCTAATTTACATGCTAAAATAGTACCACTTACTCCTGCATAATACTAATTGTAATTAATTGCTCAGTACCTACCTTCTCACTAGACTTTCCTCCATGCGAGCAGGAATCATATATCTTGTTGGATCTTGTAGGTCCAATACCTAGTGAGTGGAACATAGTGTGTAATCAATAAATATCTATTGAATGAATGAATGAGGAGGCAAGGCCACCTGAGAGCCAGCGTGCATGTGGTAGGAATGCAACATCAGAAGGGCAATGAAGTTTTAGAAATTACTGCTCTAGGGACTAGGAAAGGGCATAGAGTAAAAAAACGTATAGAAGAATTGCTATAATGATGAAATTTCTGCTGAAATTGCTTACCACATATCTGCAGGGTTATCAGTAGCTTCAGTTTTAAAGAACGTCCAAAATACACAAGTGCAGGAGTGAAGGAAGGTAACTGAAAGCACTCAGTTATTAAGATCGCATTTCTATAGGTTGGGCATGGCATTAGGGTAAGAGGTCCAAAGCTTAGCCCATAAGTAAGGCCTGTGGGGTCCAGAAAGGGCCTAGAAGAGGAAGCAAAGACAAGGACCTAAAATTCCAGTGGTGTCTCTGATTGAAAAGCCACTGTGGCAGGAATTATGGATTTTTTTTTAGGTATGTAAGAAGGTTATTTCTAAAATGAGAAAGGGTTTTATTAATCTCTTTTCCATTACTATATGTTCATATAATTAAAAAGCAAAGCTACAAAGCTAGTAAGATGAGCTTTATTTTAGGGCCAAGTTACATAGAGGCATCTTATTTAATAAGGTCATTCATAGCACTAGGACATTTAGGAAGAAAATCATTTTACAAGTACTCTTCAGGTATCCTGAATTATGGAGAAAAGGAGCAAAAATTCCTGTGATGATTATATAGGCTCATGGAATATAAAAATTTTTATATATTTGGGATCCTGTTTGCAGTGGTTGAAAGCAGAAGGTTGCACTGTTTGGGTTTTAATATCAGCCAAAACTGAGTGTTAATTATAGGAATCCGAGAAGTAATTCCATAATTACATATTACACATTCTTTTTCTTTCTTCTGTTTTTTTCCAGTAGCTTTTTGCTAAGTGATAGAGTACAATCTCTATTCAAACCTGACCTTCCTTAGGGACTAACACTTCTGCAAACACCATCTCTTAAGCATGACTGATAGGTGCAGCATGGTGATACTAAGAATCGTTTCTCGTTTGAAAGTAAAAAACTTTTTTTGATTGATTTTCCCTTGTTATTAATCTGAAACTACTTATTTTGTTTTTCACTAAGTTGTATATGCTCTATTTCTTAAGAAACCTCTTCTCATTCAAATTAACTATAGCATTTAAAGCCTTTTATAATACCCATATACCTGAGGATATTAAGTGCATTTAAACAAAATATGTTCCTAAGAACAGCTAGGCAAGAAATATTCAAGGTATTTATTTAATTTCAATATATTGAAATACTGTTGATAATCTAACTTGTATGAGGAGAGAAGTGGATTAATTTATTCATATCTATTCTAGAAAAATGTAACAGTGACATATGCTGATGCAAATGCATTTAAATTAAGATAATATTATATAGCCAAAATGAACTACTTTATCATTTGCCATACAAGTATCTGAGTCAACACATGTTATCCTTGTATAGTGGCATTCACAACCCAGTATTACTGTTTCTTATTAACCACCTTTTTCATACATACTACACGTGGATGTCAATTTCCTTTCCAACTGGACTGTAAGTACTTCAAGAAAAGGAACCTTATCTTACTCTTTTGTATTTCTCAAATTGCAGGAGCACATCTTGAATTTTAGATATATTTGCTGAGTTTCTGTTAGCGTATTGAAGATGAGCTCTCTTCCACCCCACTTGTTTCACTTTGGTCTCCCCCAGTCCGGGTGTATTACTTAAAATATTTAAAAACTGTTGTGGCCTCAAGAGCAGCCAGTCAGAAAGAACCAGTTAGAGCAGATCCTAGACCTGGAGCAGAGTCCCGGAGGCCCTCGTGCTGAGGGACGTACGGGCCCCAGTGAGGCTGAGTCATTGACGCTGAAGGTCTGGGAAAGAGCTCACATTGGTTTACATGGAGGAAACTGCCATCCCAAGACAACAGTTATTTACCAACTGGTACAGAAATATTTCAGTATATTAAGAATTGATAAAGCCTGTACAGTGCAAACCAGCTGAATACCAGATCTGTTTTTAATACATTTTAGGTGAATATTTAGCATGTGTGGTTTTTTAAATATCATTGTTAGTAAGTCAAATATTCTATCACTGTCTTTCCCATTTTTTAACTTTTTTTAGCTTTAAGAATTACTCCCATTTTTTTACCCATTCATGTAGTTTTCTACCTATTACAAATGTATGCAAATATTCAAGAGATTGGTCAGCTAACCTAATCAGGATTTTCCTTACAAATAAATATAACAATTAAACCAGCACCTTCCCTCCCCTACACAAGCACCAAGGGTGTGCATATTTGCTTGAGAGAAGTAAAATTAGAAATAAACCAAAAAGAGGAGGGTTTCATGAACACTATGCCCTTCCTCTTTCTGGTTTATTTCTGATTTTACTTCTCTCAAGCGAATATGCATGAGAGAAAAATTATTCGCATTCTTTTATATTTAAAAATCTTACTTTATATTTGCATTTTATTGATAGTTGGACTGGGTAATCACCTTTCTTCCAGGTTTTAAAGGCTTGCTTTACTGTCTCCCAGCTTCTACTGGACTACCAAGATAAATGATCATTCTGATTTTAATTCCTTTGTTTCTGCTAGATTTATTTATTTATTTATTTATCTTGTTTGAAAGCTTTTAGGATCCTTTTATTGCTGTTGTTTGAAAACTTCAAACTTCGTGATAATATGTCTTTGTCTTAATTCTCTTTCATTAAATGTTTTGGGTATATTCGGTGAGTTCCTTCTAATGGAGATTCACCACCAATTCTGGGAATTTCTTTGTTACCACTCTGTTTTCCCCCTTTTCTCTGTTCTTTCTGAATCTTCTGAGTTGAGTCTCTATGGGTTTTTTTATGCAGTTTTTTTTTTTTAATTTTCTGGTGAACATCTTGTGTCCTTTTCCTTTTTTGTAGCATCCAGTTTTTCTTTCATGGACATACTATCTTGTTTGATCTAACAGTGTTAATGTTTTGATGTGTTGCTCTGCTCCCTGCATTGTCTCTGTCTTCCATAGCTTTCTTCCCAAACAAATGTTTGAAGCATATGTCAGATGTCTTATGTTGCCCATTTGTCTTTCACATGTAAGTGTGAAACCCTAAAAAGATGATACAAATAAACGGGTTTCTTTGGCTGGTGGGAGCTGAGCTGATCTTTTTCAATTAAAGGACCAACAAATGTCTTTTCTAACATTGACAGTCTGTTGCAGCATGCAAGTTCTTCAAATGAGAATTCTTGATTTTCCTCTCGGTAGGAGTACATGTGGCAATTGAGAGGGTATAGGGTGGGAACTGGGGGTAGGATACATCCAGAAACAGCATGTGGTGACTGGCTTGGCCTGAAGAAATGTGACCTTTCTTTTAATCTCCCACCTGGTTTTTATCCCCCTTCTCAATCTTCCATCACATCACACCTGAAAATCAAGTTTAGAGTCTTTGTGATTCAGTGACAACAGAGAATAAGGAAAAGCAGAAGAGTTTGGCTTTTCAGGGTTCAGAGAGGGACCTGGATGTGTAAGTGTTCTGTGTATAGACTCAAAAAGTATTTTCTGCTGCCTTCCTTGTCCTTTCCAAGATCCAAGTGTCTCTGGGTCTTCAGCCATCAGGGATACTGCAAAGTGCTGGTGTCCTTTTCTGTCTGCACTGGTGTGAATTTTCTTTCTACCTTGATCATCTACTCATTATCTTTTTTCTGTTTTTTCTTTATCCTTCTGGGCTTGTATCTTGTTGCCATCATTATCATCATGATTGTATTCATAATTATCATGTTAGTGAAATTGGTGAAGAGAGAGGAGCATGTGTGATAAATCTACCATATTTAATCAGAAACTCAGTTTTATCAAATTATGCAAGAAAATAGAATTATATGGTGTTACCATTCTAGGATATCTGCTGTCATTTTCTCCTGAAGTTACGAAAAGCATTATGGGTCTTGGTGAAGACTAAAGATGCCATGCCCTCTTCAGATAGCCCAAAGCCCATTGTTTTAGTGTGGTCTTCTGCTTGTGCCCTTTTACACCTCC